ACACCACAAAATAACGGTTGGATATAGAAATAATATCCAATATATTACCTGCATTTGAAGCTGACCAGTGGCATCTGCTGTTAACCTTCTTACTAGTACACCTGATTCCGGTATCCAGCGTAATGGTAACACATTCGAATAACTACGAGTAACTTGGAAGCATTTGCACATTTTCTTCAAGAGAATAAAGTAAGCACACACACACACACACACACAAAAACACGTTTATAAATAACAGGAACTTTGAAATTAATATTGCTACTTCCTAACTTCAAGCGAAGTACCAATGACATCTCCAACCTTTTCTTTGCTTGTCACTGATAACTCAAAGTTACATGGACTATGAACGGGAGATTCGCTCCAATGAAGCCTCATTTGTGGTTATTAACAATTCTGAACATTTTGACTGCTTATGCCAGGGTACCCGAAGGAGTACTTCTTAACTGATGCGACTCGCATCAGTTCAATTACAGAACTACCTTCCCAAGAAAGACAGGTGCCACAAGTTCGGCCCCGTCAAGAAAAACGAATGGACAAGGGACACGAACCTATTCGGTTAAAGAATTTTAACTTAAATAACAAAAAGTTTTTAAAAAAAACTTTAGTGCATCAAGGACAGTTGTTGTATTTGTAAGAAATCTGGATTTTGTATAAAGTGTATATTACAAATATCGTATATTTATGTATTTTAAAAATCAAAACACCCAATGTAGTAGTAGTTTCTAAATGTATTGATGTTCCCTCCGATGATGGTCTGTAGGGACCGAAACATGTTAGGGTACTAAGAAGTGAAGCAGTAAAAGCTTCAACAGTTACACTGAACGGAATTATTTTATCATTTGTAAAGTTCCTAATAAGGTCAGAGGGAGTACAATCGAGAAATGCCATGTCTCAGGAAGCAAATAGTTGAGATTGAAAGCAACTAAGTGAACAAACAAAACAAGACTGTCAAGTAATGTGATGGTTGTCATAATCGCATGTTCTCTGGAAAACTGGGAGAGAACTACGTTCAGAATGTAGGAAACAGTTGGGATTTGGTACCATTGGTCTTATGTAAATATTTCCCATGGAAACTATAAAAGTGAGAGATCGTCACCAGTCCAGTTCAAACAACTGATAATTGACGACTGCCCAACCAATAACATGTGACGAAAAATAAAGAATGTAATTTTAGGAGGATTTTACTTACTTATATAGAGCTTTTAACATTAACTTATAAATATACCATTCGACGGCTAGCTATTTTAGAATTTTTTTAAAATTTTCTCAGAACGCTGTGGAAAGGAAACAAGGATTGCCGGTAGAAGGCACAAAGTACTTGTTCCCTTACCGCACAGACTAGGGGTACGCGGTAGCGTAGTTGGTTGAGGCACTATGCTACAAGCTGTGAAGATCGCGGATTCGAGTCCCGATGAGGTGGATTTTTTCAATTGACCTGATCATTCCAGCCGCACTATGGCCCTGGGGGTCGACCCAGCTTCTAACAGAAACGAGTACCAGGAATCTTCCTGGGGGGGTAGAGAGCGGCCGGCGTGTACGGCTGACAACCTTTCCGCCATCTGTGAGCCGACTGTCTATTTTACATTATTAAAATTGAAATCCAGCTCAGGAATAACGCGCTGGACACATTCGCAGATGGTCATACGACCAAATCCCTGCCAAGCAAAATATTTTATTGTAGTATACACTTTGTCAACGTAAAATATGCCGGATGTAACCTCATTGTTTGGCGCCGTCGCTATATTTGCAGTTACCTTATGACCAATATTTTGTAGTCTTTTGTCTTTGCATATTTATGATCTCTTTCCTAGTTCCAATGTTTCATTAGTTATCGTCATCTGATAGAACGTTAAATAGATAAAGCCGCCATTCTCTGTGCGTTTGTGGAGGTGGCCCCCTTAATACAAGTAGCAAAATTTTCAAGTATATTACCATACATACCTTCTGGATCCAATATAAAGTGGCGCTAATTTCGCTCCGTTCTCAAGTTCGTGCGTTCACCGTGTTATTAAGGATCACAGAAAATTGTGGGAGCCAGGATAGCTCAGTATATAATGCGAAGGCTACAGGTTGGACAATCGACATATCGGGATTGGATTTCCATTAGAGGCAAAAGATTTTTCTCTTCCCCACGGTGGCCAGCCGGCCACACTTTCAGAGGAACTGTTAGCTAACTTTATATTATGATTTTTCCCTGCATTTTGGTGACGAGACAGCAACATATACTTAGTTTCTTCTATGTTTACTTCTAGACCAACCTCCTCACTAGCTTCAATTGCAGTTTCTGTTTCTCTTTATGGTATCTACATTATCACCCTGCAGATTCACATCATCAGCATAGGCCAACAGCTGATGTGTCCCAGTCGATTCACCTGGACCTTCCTAATTGCATATTCTAAAGCAAAGTTGAAGAGTAGTGGCGATAAAGCATCTCATTGTTACAGACCATTCTGGGTAGGAAAATTATCAGACAAATATTTACCTATATGGACTTTACTATACGTTTCGTTTAAACACATTTTAATCAGCATAACTAGTTTCATGGATATCCCAAACTCTGACAGTATTGCACAATACTTCTCTCCTAATTGAATCACAGGCTTTCTTGAAGTCTATAAATAACCGATGTACTGACTCATTGTACTCCCATTTTTTCTCCAGTATCTGAAGAATGTAATGTGCACATTCTCTTCTGAAATCGTTGGGTGTCTTATACACTAACAAATATAGCAACATAGCTCTCTTCTTTGACATCTGGGCTTCCTTTATCATTTAACACTATGAAGGATGGTTCACAGCATCTATTAAAAAACATTATGAGAGCATTAGTCCTGTAAAATAGGTCGAGTATCCAAATTGTTATTGTTTAGTGTCATGATGTGTATTCCATTATGTCACTTGCAAACTGTTTAAAACATCTCTGAAAATGCACTATATCATTAGGAACTCACTAACTTTTATTTTCAAGATGTCTGATATTTATATGCCAGTGGGAAATTCACACAGCACTTCTCACATCAGATGGTAGTGGGGCGGAGTTGAATGACAGCATGAAGGACTCCAAAATTCTGAACTTCACAGATGCATATTAAATTGCAGTATATTAATATACTAATTCTATTACAAATTACTTTATTATGAGGTGGTATCAGAAAGCTCCTGAACTGTTATTGTTGTAACTGTCTTGGTGAATGAAGATGATAGGTGAGGCCAAGGTCACACTTCTGCAAGCCTATTGCATCAGTCTGCCACATGACACCGTGTTGTGATCACCCACTGTTTTAACACAAGTGTTTTTTTTTTGACTTCATGTTTCATTTTGCCTGCGATGGATGGCAAACTCAAGCAACATGTCTGCATCAAGTTCTGTGTGAAGCTTGGTAAATCCTCTGCCAAAACCTTTGAAATGCTTTGTGAGGCTTTTGGAGAACATTCTTTAAGCCAGAGAGCAGTTTTTGAATGACAAACGTTCAGGGCAACCAAGCACCAGCAAAATGCCAGAAAATGTTGAGAAAATTAAAAAACTCATTAATGAGGACTGTCGCTGAACAATCTATGAGCTCACAGACACCATTGGGAACAGTTATGGAGTTTGCCAGGCGATCTTAACTGAAAATTTGAACGTGTGCCGCACTGCTCCTTCATCACAACAGTGCATCTTTCCACACATCCCTGAAAACCACAGAGTTTGTGACTAACAACAAGTTTATTGTTCCCTATCCTCCCTACTCACTGGATTTAGCACTATGATTTTGCTTTGTTTCCCAAATTGAAAATGAAACTGAAGGGACGACATTTTGAAACAGTGTATGACATCCAGATGGAACTGCAAGTGGTACTCGATAGCATTAAGGAAAATAACTTCCATGGTACTTTTGAAACGTGGAAAAAATTATGGAATCACTGTATACGTTCCCAAGGAGATTATTTTGAAGTAGATGGCAGCCAAAATTAAGGTAAGCCAGCATTTCTTTTTTGACCTAGTCCGGGAACTTTCCAACAGAACCTCATATTTCAGTTTATAAGCAATATTTTACTCTATTCTCCAGTACTGAACGCTCGTCACTTCTCAAATTTGTTCTTGCTAAAAGTATACCAACTTCTGCATGCCTATAAATTCTGCCACACAATATTTGATCCTGATATACTCTCAGTGCAGTAGGTGGTCCCATTTTCTGGCAACAACTTCAGATGAAACACAATTTCTTAATGTCCTCCTAGAAGTATACATTTTTTGATACCATCCTTACTGGGATTAATGTATTAATAACAACCTCTTTTCAAATTGTTATGATTTAAACTGAGCTTGTTCATTCTTCTGCTCAGTTCTGTAAATGGGCTGACTGTGTATGATTCTCAAACCCTCTTCTTGCTAGAATGTATGAACATTTCTAATCATCTTCTAAACTGACAGTACTTCTTAGGATGCATCTTAGACATGTTAAATATTGCAAAGAAAAGATACTGATACCAAGATGCAAACCAGTCAATATGAAATATTTTTAATATTTTCACCATTCTGGCATTTGCTTTATATATATATATCTATAGTAAAGGATAATTACTAAAGCTGGTTTCCATGCTTAACATTAGAAAAATGTTACAATAGACCTAAAAGAGCTAAGAGTATACAAAATTACTTCAAAGTAGGAACTACTTTCTGATCACACCTACAAAACTTCCTCCTCTTCTGGCAATAACTCCTACTACTATGAGGTCACAGCAGACAACTCTTATGCCACATCAACAACAAAGAACAAAATTAACAGATATAACATATGTTTTGTTATTTCATTTATGTATTTTATGGGTACAAATATGTTACTGATTTCATAAATATCAGTATTAAACCATGAAAGCTATTAGCGATGGTTCCTACGAGCAGCATATGGGAGTTGGGAAGGGGGACATTAAACTTCTTCCATAAAGCTGGCTACTCAAGGGATGATGCATCCTCAAAGATGTTTCAGACAGTGTCCTATTCAATCCATTAACACATATAAATTTGCAAAATTTACAGAACATTTATTCTAAACACAATGAAGGAAATTTTACATTATCTCTCATATTTTCTTTTGGGAAATAATTCATATTCACATGATCTTCCCACAGTTATTGTTCAGAAGTTGCTGTAAAAGTACAAAGCTGCTTTATGCTTCTTTATGCTTCTAGTTCCAGGAGTACTGAAGAGTCTGGCACTAGAGAAATGTTAGAACAATTTTTTAAAGCAAAAGGCATCCTACAACAGACACCATACACTGATTATATCGTCTAAAAACCAAGAGGTATATTAGCTGTAATGAATCTGAAAGAGTGAATATGCCCAACTCTTCTTGAATGTTTATATACATAAAAATTAACACAATCATTCTTCCTATGGCTAAAAAATTGTAAACAGATTAAATGATAGTTACATTATATAACATATACATCACCATTTGGGTTTTAAGAAAACTGGGAGTAGGTGGTTACAACACTTCCATGCAGAGATCTGAACAGGGGTACAGAATTTACTATACAAAATGGGAGAAACACTACCACATGAAGTAAGGGACAATATGGATTGGTCTTAGTATAAAAATATCCAAATATTAGAAATAATTTAAGCTTATGCAAATAATTTCAACATATGGATGAAGTCCATCACGTAGTAATTATAGGTACCAGAACACCTTTAAAATTCTCCTTTTTTTTTTTTTGACCAAAAAATATCTACAGCTAATGCTTCTTTAGAAAAAACAATTCCACATGACTGAAATAAATACAAAATATACAAAAGATTTTATTCCACTTAAAATGGCCACAAATGCCTTACTCCACATGGTGCGCTTTGTGCAATCTATATTGTTCCTGATATCACTCGACTTCTATGCCATGAGAAAAATTGAATGTTACAAAAAGCAGTCAATTTGGTACACTTGCAATGCAGCCGTGTGTGTGCATGTCATAAATGTAAATGCAGAGCATTATTGACAGAACCAAATGAAATCACTGTACATTTTATGGTTTCAGAAAATATAAACTAATTTACAAATGAACTTCTTTATCCTTCAATCTGCTGCTTCTTAAAGAAAATATTTTAAGCTGAAATTTCTCCATGGCTTTCACCAGTCTCTCCCACACGTACAATGAAAGACGTTGGTCATTGGATCACAACACATGGTCATGCACAGCTGTGCTGTTCTTGTCCTCACTGGGTGCACACTTGAGTGGTGATGGTAGCAGTGGTGGTGTGGTGGTACAGTTATCATTTCAGTTCTTCAGTATGGCAACAATGTGCTGTCTAGGCATAAAACTAACAATGCATTGAGATACATGCATCACTGTCCCCTAGTGACTCAATCTTGTGACAATTATTTACTTAGTATTAAAGTAATTACAGATGTTCTTATTAACGTTATTTATTATTATTAATATTATTTTTTTATTATTATTGACTTGGCACAAGTGAAACTTAGTTATTTAGAAAAAGCTAGCTATTTGTGTGTTTTAAAAGTTGCAAACAATGATTCCTCCCTACCCCAGTTCACCACACTCTAACATGTGGGGAACATAGTACAGTTCTCTCTCTCACAATAACAATATTTTTGAAACTGCTAACACAGACTAGAAAAAATATTGACATAAAGGACAAGCTAAAGCATTAATAAAAGAAACTGAAGAACTCAATTAATAAAAATACTGCACTAAGAGTCACAACTAGGAAAGCTGTCCTTATCTCATGAAAAGACAGAAAACATCAATTAAAAGAAATTGTGACTGTGTGATGTTTAAAGATTCAACAATATGAAACTGATACTCAAAACATATGCATTCCATTTGAGAAGCATATGCAGTTTTATATTGGTTCCTCTGCTTTTTGTTTATGGCTATAATAACAGAACTCAGTACCAAATGTTTTTACAACGCAAACAAACGGCAGAGTCGTATGGCAGTACATAAAATGGACTTCAGTTACTGTAACACTTCCATGAATATCCATCTAGCAGTTTTCACCTACTATTAAAGATATTCTTAACAAATATTTTATGTTATCTAATTAATATGATTATATGTGTGTTGACTCAGCATATGTTGCAACGATATAAATTAACAGGATGTATCAACTTCTCTTCTTCGAAACAACAAATGGAGAAACTGTGTTTATAGTACACTACAGTAATGCACATTTTATGAATACGGATATTGTGGAAAGTGACTCTGAAACCAATGTAATTGCAATGCAATATCTGATACAAATAAAAACAATGAATAATATGATAACATGCACACACTCACTCTCAGTCACTCAGAAAACTGCACCCCACCAATCATTATATCGCAATTCCATGCAGATACCAATGTAGTCATGTCCTACAGTTTCAGTTATGTTCACAGTACATTCATTATGCTCCCCATATCAACTTATTATATCATCACTATGTTCAAATACACATTTTTTTCATGTTATATAAATGTTCAATTATCAAACAAATGCTAGAAGTTTGGGGGCTAAAGCCCACCTGTTCACTGACTAGCTAGCCAAGACGACCATTCCAATCTGCTCCCAAGACTGTATAGAAACCTAACTTGGAGCAAATGTCCAGTGAATGGAATCTCATTACACGCTATAGGCTCCAGTAGCATCACAACAATATTTCAGTAAAACACAAAAATGCAATACACATTACTCCTGACTTTAAAATGCAGTAGGCCACCTGGTCATTTTACATTCCTTACCCCACCCTAATTTGTGCTATTAAATTCCTTGTGCCTTTTCCTGGTTATTTTGCCAATGAGTGATAGGCCAAGCACCTGACACTAACTGCAACGCAAAGATGTGGACTAGTCCACAGAACACCAACTGTCCTAACCTGCAGTCAGGAAGCAGGTGTTCCTCATACTGCCATGACCAACAGCAAGTTGGTATGACACTAGTGTTAGTATACCCTCCGTCTCCAGTCCCAGTCTCACATGTTGTAGGCAACATAGATGGGATCTAGCTGGTCCGCTAGGAAGCCATCACGAAGATGCATGCGTTGCTTCTCACCGCGAGAGTTTATTGGCACTACACCTGGATCTACAACAACTACTACACCCACGATTAAGTGATGTTCCTCCAGAACTGTGTTCGTGACAAGTGGAACAAGGTCCAATGCTTCATTTTCATTGCCGTCCAACTCCACCACCACCACAAGCAGGTTCGTCCAGGTAAACACAGCACTGAAAAGCAATAATTACATGTAATAAACATCTCTAAACTCATCTGATATCACGTGTATACCTGCAGGTGTCAATTAAAAATATTAAGGTTTGTCAGTAGACAGACAGAAACTGTCTTCTTTGGATGCAATTGAGTCCCTGATTCTTCTGTTATTAATATGAATATACAAGGGATTCCTGACACTCTAGAAGTAAGATGCAAGAAAAGTTGTTCATGCTAATTAATCTTCAATTTTTGTCACCGTCTGTTAAGTCTGATGTACAGGTATCTCTTGTTTCACAAGCACTGAATTTTCAATTTTTTTGCTACAACAAAGTGAGTTACTTTGTTCCTATTTTTCCCTTAATTAACTTCACTTCTGGTACTTACGTTTTAAGAAGTTTTTTAATGAAGGCAGAGATATACATACATAACACATGGGAAGAAGCCAACATCCACTCCCACATGCACCTCCCACCTTCCCAGTCTGTTTGTGCACCTGACTGTGATCATACAGAAGCAGCTGTGCACTTGATGCTTGTATTTTATCCATAAATATCTGTTATCTGTGCCCATCATGGCTCCCAAACATGTGAAAGTGGTTGTAAGAGGTGCTGATATGCCAAATAAAGTAAAGAAAGCAACAGGTTTCACTACAAGCTGCATTGCTGCAATGCACCAACTATGAGAAAATAAATGTGAATATTTTTATAGTTTCACTTGCAACAACAAATATCCTAACAAGTACTATTATCATTATATTTTAATGCTCTTTACTATTAAAACATATGTTAAAATATACTGGGGGACTTCTCTGGGACTCGTTAATGACTTGGCGACTCTTACAAGTAAAGTAACTGGAATTTAATTTTTGATTTATAAATATTCACCTCATAAACTGAGGGATACCTGTATACCTTCAAATGGCTTTGAACGCACTGGGAACATTTCAACGTCTTAGATCTTAGAAAATGTGTACCACTATTAACACACTGAGGTGTGGCTGCTCATGATATCTCCTACTCATGGTCATTTATGGCTATTTACATGTCCCAACAGCCAACTTTATAATTTCCTGGCATAACCCATATACTCGAGAACAATATAAGTGACTGAAGTCTAAAAGATATTTACCAGTGTGTCACTGATGTTAGTAAAGTGTAACCTGCCTTTTCTTAATACTGGCTTTCTGATTCTTTACAGTACTATACTTCAGGACAATTAGTTTCACATTAGTAGATCTGCATCTCCAATAAATCAAAACCAAGGCCAATGAAATATGCAGTATTGCCGTGGACAATACGTATGTGCTTCTTCATTCTAGTCCTGACTATGACACAATGTCATGCTTATGACTCACCATTCAGCAATCTTCTTATGGCAACGCATGACACTGTTCTCAATGTCAATAGGATGGTAACGCATACCTCGCAGCATCACTGTCTCATCTAGGGCCCCCACCACAAACACAGCATCATGGAGCTCTGAAACACACAGAAAAACTGTTGTACACTAATGACAACATTTGGAGAAATTAACTTTTAAATGCAACATGTCACATTAAAGTAGGTTATCACAAATATCATTGGAGGAATACGTAATCTTGGAAAGAAATAATTTATTTAGGTATGTGATGAATGGAAATACAAGCACAAGTAATACACATTGCATAATCTAAATAGTGTCGAGTTCTTGATGACAGCAGAACACAGTCTAAAGCAATGTTACATACAGAAGTAACATATTAATCTATTAATGCTTTAACTAGGGGAGAGATCAGTTATGTCTATTATTGCAGCATTCAACTAATAAAACAATTGTGCATGCCGATATAATGCAAAATTTAATTTTAGTAAAAAACAGAGTACAATCTTCTTCTTTTCCTGCAACATCCAACTTTATTCCGAAAGCCATAACAATGCATCCTTCTTGACCCATATAGCATTGTCATCTAGCAGAATTTAAAGTTAAGTGTTCAGGGAACTTTTACTTAGGTTTTACATGTCCTCATCTCAGCAATATCATTTTGGGAGGTAAATATATAACATTTTCTTCTAAATATATAGAAAAGGATATATGGTTGTTATAACTGCAATGGTACTGCTTTGGTAAGCAAATATTACTCAACATTTTATTCTAAATCTGATTTTAAAATTATAATTTATATCCTAGACACCTACTATAAAACTTGAATGTACATGGACTAAGAGCAATATTATATTTGAGCACCCTGTTGCATTGTGGTGTATCACTCACTCACTCACTGACCTCCATCTTTAATGCAAGTTAAAACTGTTCAGAACCTCTCTTTAATTTAAATGGCCTTACTTGGCCATCTTCAGGCAATCTACGAAACACAGGGCATACACTGAGAACAATAACAGTTACCATGAATGTCATAAGGACAGAAAGAAATGGCAGACATTTGAATACCCTGGAAAAATATCACATTTATAAAATCAGTTTGAATAACTTGCATATGAATGACACATACAACTCCATATTTCAGACTTTACATGAACTTTACAATAGACAGTAGCACAGGCACCCCAAGAAAAGATATATATCAGTGGGAACAATCACACTGAACACCTATACAAGGGACATATGCCCAACTAGTGAGAACATACATAAGAAGGGAACATGAGAGTATATAATAACATACAAAACAAGACAAACAAACTCTGTGGTTTTAGTCCGCAAGTGAACTATACTGACCGAGTGACCACTGCTTGTTGGCGAAGTTAGTGCCAACTTTAGCTTATAGAGGGTGTCATGTGGTCAGCACAACGAATCCCCACAGGCATTAATCTCGGTTTTCTAGACTGGAGCCGCTTTTTCCTTGAAACAGCTTCTCAATTATCCTCATGAGGCTGCGTGGATCCCATTCCGGACCCACTACTTCTCAGAAAATCTGTTAGTGCCAGGAATCGAACCTGGACCTCTGGATCTGTAGCCAGGCACTCTGACCACTAGACCACAGAGGCTATCTATAACATACATATAATAACATAGAGGCATACAAAAATAGCAAAGTCATATAATGATACATCTTCGCAATTGACAGTAGAAATATATTATGCATAACAGAAACATTGACACTGCAAAAGGAAAATAAAGTGGAACACCGAGAGAGAGAGTCGTTCTCAAAAAACATATTGTGACATGTCAGCACATTGCTAGGCAACAGTTTGATAAACGCCCTGCATTACATGCACACAACAACACAGTAGGATTATGCAACGTTTCTAGGCAACGGCTCGGCGAACACACTTCTGTGGAGGTAGTGACATCACACAACAGTGGACAGACCACGTGACGTGTTTTCTGTAGGTCCATGCCGAAGGTTTGTGGGGGACAGCTAAGGTCATTGGTGGACAGTCATAAGCTGGAGCAGTAAGTAACAGATGGACTTCACTTGACTTCAGAAGTTCCAAGGGAACAGCAGTGTGGCCAGAAGAAGAATTATAAGATTTACTGTGTGGTGATATATGTGCTGTAGTACACTGATATTGGGAGTGTGTAATTTAGTGAGACTTTTATAGCTCCTGTGTTGAGATCCATTGCCAGGAGATGACTAGTGAAGATGGAGAATCCTAGTGCGTATGCAACAGTGAACTGTAAATTGTGTGAAACAGCTATAGTGCTGTATTAATTGTAATTAAGAGAGAGAGTGTAACTGAAGTGCCAATAAATCCTATCATCCAGTCTGGAATCTGTTATTTCTGTCACACATACCCCCCTATGCCTGGCAGTATTTTAGTGTAAACAAAGATAATACAAGAGCATGGAAATATATTGAATAAGATCTAGTGCAGTGCAAACGATTTCAAGAAGCGAACAATTGCCTGAAGATGGCCAAGTAAGGCCGAAACATGTAGCAATTGATGTGATTTTAATGTTATTTTAAATTAAAGAGAGATTGTGATTCTTCAGTTGCATGAAAGATGGAAATGAATGAGTGAATGATACACTAAGAGTATTAAAACCTTCATGAAACTTGCAAAGAGATCTGGTACCTCATTGTAGAAGTCACAAAAATCTATTCTCAATAGGTCAACACCATCTTACGTTTTATAAAAATGTGATTCAGTAATACTTCTGACCATTATCAAGTGTGCAAAATGTATTGTAACGTGTATGGGTGACTCTTGACAGGGTTTTGGATTGGATATTGCATTTATTGTCCACTTTTACATTAAACTCATAATTACACTTAATTATGGCACCATCACTGATCTCCACACTCAACAGAACACAGTTTCACACACACATTATTGTCCTCAGTCTCTGGCAACAGCTTCAACAATGGTTATTCTTCTGCTACCCTGCTTAAGTCCTCTCTGAATGGTGGCTCCCTTCCAACTCTCAGTTCTTGCTCTAGTTGTCCTCCTTATGACCCCTTGGGACAGACTACCATAGCAAACATCGTTTCCAACAGTAGCTCCACTGTTTCATGTTGATTCATTGCTGTGGAAACATGTTTGTTTGCGACTGTTACCTAGGAATGGGTCTAACAGCTACACTGCTCCCTTCTTCAGGATGTTCATACTGAATAGCCTACAGGCTCACCATCATTTTCTCTTTTCTTGTATGTGCAGCAAAACTTCTGAGAGTGGTGGTGCCCTTACATCTATGGCTTTCAAGCTGTGTGAAGTCTCTTCTTTTGTTTGCATGGGGGCCAACTCCTCCACAATGTCCAGTCATTAATTTTCTGCAGTCTAATGTAATTTTGCTTTGCAATCTCCAGCTCTATGATCTGCCTGAAGGTCTTGTTCAGTGTTCTACTGCTTTCCAGACATAATCACTCTTTAGGTCTCCGTTCCTTATGTCGTTGTTGCATTTAAGTTGACCACGAAGCCTACGATGCTGCCCTCTGTGGGCAGCAGCCAACTTCTTCCAGGAATCACCATCACCTTGGGTCCATTTCTGCAGCTGTCAGCAGCTCCCTATGGCTAGATGCCAGTCTCCATACTGCTTCTTCAGTGCTCTGATAGTTTTCACTGCAGCCTCTTCCTTAGGGTCTTCGTCATGCACCACTACAGACTCTACCTCCACCAAGGCTGGCTCCTTACAATCCAGACAGGCCTCCGTCTTTTCCTGGCAGGCCATCGTCTCTATTCACCAGGCCCTCATTTCTGTTATAATCTTCACTAGGTTGGTGTTCATCTTCTTTTGGTTGGCATCGATCTGGGAGGCAAGGGAACACACCTGGGCATTCATCTCTGTATGGTTGGCTTTTATTTCAGCCTCTATTTTGGCTTGGTTGTTATGCATCGTGGCTTCGAGCCCTCCAATGGTGGTGGTTATGCAACATGGCTTCAAGCCCTCCAATGGTGGTGGTTATGCATCATGGCTTCAAGCCCTCCAATGGTGGTGGTTATGCATCATGGCTTCGAGCCCTCCAATGGTGGTGGTTATGCATCATGGCTTCGAGCCCTCCAATGGTGGTGGTTATGCATCATGGCTTCGAGCCCTCCAATGGTGGTGGTTATGCATCATGGCTTCGAGCCCTCCAATGGTGGTGGTTATGCATCATGGCTTCGAGCCCTCCAATGGTGGTGGTTATGCATCATGGCTTCGAGCCCTCCAATGGTGGTGGTTATGCATCATGGCTTCGAGCCCTCCAATGGTGGTGGTTATGCATCATGGCTTCGAGCCCTCCAATGGTGGTGGTTATGCATCATGGCTTCGAGCCCTCCAATGGTGGTGGTTATGCATCATGGCTTCGAGCCCTCCAATGGTGGTGGTTATGCATCATGGCTTCGAGCCCTCCAATGGTGGTGGTTATGCATCATGGCTTCGAGCCCTCCAATGGTGGTGGTTATGCATCATGGCTTCGAGCCCTCAAATGGTGGTGGTTATGCATCATGGCTTCGAGCCCTCAAATGGTGGTGGTTATGCATCATGGCTTCGAGCCCTCCAATGGTGGCTGTCAGATATTCCATTATTTGTTCCATTTTTGTAGGAGGGTAGTATAATGATCCAATGGAGTTTCCAATCCAATCCCACTTCTGACAGCAGTGGTCAAATGAAAGACTGACCTTAGATTGGGGTTTGGATTGGACAACTCATAAGTACACTTAATTACAGCACCATCGCTGATCTCCACAATTTACAGATCACTGTCGCACACACTATTGTTCTCAGTCTCTTACTCAACATTTCCTGGTAACAGCTCCAACAGTGTTTATTCTTCTGCTTCTGTGCTCAAGCCGTCTGTGAATGGTGGCTCCTTTTCCAACTCTCAATTCTTGCTCCAACTGTTCTCCTTATAATGCATCAGCATGAACCACCAGGGAGGACACAGTTTCCAACAGTACCTCCACTGTGGCAGGTTGATTCACTTCTGTGGAGACATGTTTGTTTGTGACTGTTGCCTATAAATGGGGCTACTCATAACACTATGATAAATAAAAATTAAAAACTGTTAGGTATTTTATGACAAAATTACTTTTTATTTAAAGAAAGAAGTGGGAAAAATCATGGGCACAGCAAAAGGATTAAAATATGTGAAAATGAACTAAAGAGACAATGAATCAAGCTTAGATTTCACAAAATATTTCATCATTTCTCTCTACTCTAAGAGTTTCATGATCCACACTATTTCACTTCGTTTTCATTTCTATCTTAACAGTAGCTTGATCATATGTAACTAGTTTCAGGAGAAGAATGTTAATTTATCAACCTTCAGCAAGCTTGTTTCAGTATAGAGATGATGCTGTTATAATTATTTGACTGCATACAAAATGAACTTCTTTACAGATATAAAAGTGGCTTACCTGTCTCTCATCAAGCAGCACCATAATGTAAAGCATGCATATAAATGTGTTACAAAAAGCACAGAAAGAGGAAAAAGCACAGACACATCACCTAAATAACTTGATCACAAATGAAAACCTAAGTGCAGCAATGTTAGAAATAAAGACACGAACAGGATTTGCAACAAGATTTCCAAAACAAATCAAGAAACTTAATGCGATGCAGGACCACACATTTACACCAACTAATTTTTGCAGCTGTAAAAGCAGAGAATTTACTGATTTGATTGTTAATTTTTCTTCTTCAAAATCGGCTATTCCAAAAGAGCGTATTACAGAAATTTCTGGTGTTCTAAAAGAACACATTACAAAAATTCCTTATATGCCAGTCATCTCCCAGAAATCTTCAGATGAAAGTATTTCACTGGCATGGGAGTAAGCCCATGAGAGATCATAAAATTGGAGGTATGGAGCACATACTGTACCTAAACCTGCAAGCATAAAAGCACTGCTTGCGTGAACTATACTGACCCAGCAACTGTTGCTTGTCAGCGAAATTAGTGCCAACTTTAGTGGATAGAGGGTGTCACGTAGGCAGTGAAACGAATTCCCATGTACATTAATTTATGTTTTCTAGACTGGAACCGCTATTTACTTTAAATGGTTCTTCAATTATTCTCATGAGGCTGAGTGAACCCTGTTCCAGACCCACTACTTAGAAAATTTGGTAGCACCAGGAATTGAACCCAGACCTTGGTATCTGTAACCAGGAACGCTGACCACTAGACCACAGCTACTGGCTTAATAAATAGGATGATGGACTTATTTCTTGAAACCAGTGAGTATTATAAATGTGTACTAAACAAGAAGACATGACCTTTTCTGATGATAGGAGGAGGTGTAATTGTTTCAGAGCATGTATGTGAATTTCATTCTTTGATTTAATTTGATCATGAAATTATTTTCTCATAAATGCAGTAATGAAATATAACTTTTCCTGATATCCAGGCAAACAAAGCAGGGCCCTGGGTGTAAATGGGTGTCAGCTGTACGAGCATGCAGCACAAGTACCAAACAGCTCTCACCCAGACATTCACAGGAATGTACAGGTGTGGTAAAATATCCTACTCTAAGTTTACAGGGGACTTTCAGAGTCCAGTCTTCTGTATAAGCATGGCATCAATATGATGCTGTCTGTACTCACATGATTATACAAGTTTACTTTTATTTCAAACATATGTCATCCATGAATTCTTTGAACTTTGCATCTCAAAAATATGAATGATACAATTGATTTAATTTCAGTCTACTTAATGATTGTGTGTAAACTGCAGGAGTTATGAGAAATACAGGTTTGGAACACTACAGGAAGAGATCATGCTTTGCTTAAATTCATATTCCAGCATTTGCCTGGAGGGTCTGAAGAAAATCTAAAACAGAAGGAAAACCACTTCAAGATAGCAAGTGATTCCATAAATACAAAGCAAATGCTGCGAGTGGTTCACTTTGCTTATAATTGCCTTAATTTGTCAATTAAATTTTTATGTTCACAATTCCTCCAACTTCTGCAGGGTCATTAGTCATTAGAGAGAAAAAATACAAAATATCAGTACAGTAACTCTCCATTATGACCACAAAACTGAAAGTCACATTTTTGGCCTCATCACATTTCATACATATAGTATATTACTCCACTGCTTTAGTTGAAAAGTCATCTCATGGCAGTCATCTTTTCAATTTTAGTATTTATCAGAATTTCATTATATACATTACAGAAAATCAGAAGCTGTTAATTTCCTGGATGGTAATGGTGACAAAGTTCTTGACTGTATTTTGATTACATGGCAATGAATGGTTTTTTCAAAGGAATGGCACAGACAAAATTTTTACTCTAAATTTCAATTTAATATGTCTCCAGTGAAGTTAATAAACTGCAAAGCATGCATCTGTGAAACCAACTTTGACATCTAAAGGTCATTATCATGTGGGAAGAAGGTATGAATGGAATGTACATGGCATATAATTATAATTGATTTGATTAAAACCGAGGGAAAATATTCAGTTTGTTAACAAATTAGCTGATCCTGGGCTGCTAACTGCATCCTCTAAATGTGGCATATTGCACAATTTTCATGAGAATTGTATCCATACTGTTTTAAAGCCTATTATATTCTATATTTTGAAAATGTACTCAGCATTCTCAAGTAAGATTTCTTACACTTCTCTTCACTAAAATCACAGATATAATTATGTGAAATGAGAACATAAATGGAAATGCATACAGAAGTTCTGGTAGGAAAACCTAAAGTAAAGAGACCCCTTGGAACACCTACACATACATAGGGGGATAATATTAAAATGGTTCTTAAAAAAATAGGTCAGGGGTTGTGGACTTGATTTATCTGGGTCAAGAAAGGGATCAATGGCAGACCCTTGTAAATTTAGTACCAAACCTTCAGGTTTAAAAAATACCATGAATTTACAGACTACTGGCTTCTGAAGAAGTCCCATGGAGTTAGCTTGAGTTCATATATGACCATAAAGAATTTCTGTAATTCATCAGCAACTGTATGGCAGAATTTAATCATAAAACTGAGTAGCATATTGCAAACTGGTATTTTTTTTAACAATACTGCTTAAATTTTGCTGTGGAAGTGAAAGGCAGAAGTGAAGAAGTGAAGACAGGTGCAAACAGCAGTGAATGTCCATGTGGGAGGTAGCTGGTAACGTGTGGAGTGCTAAAAAGCTGGTGGGCTGCCAGACCTGATGTGGCCGAGGCAGCAGTAGCAGCAGCGTGGCAGTGCGTGAGGCCAGGAGTCTCATCCTCCTCACCTCCACTTGAAGTGTCACCCTGTGGTTGACTGATGGCTGTAGCTGAACCACCCAGCAATGTTGTTGTGCCAGATAGCTGTGTCCCACCTTGCTGTTGTGAACACTCTGTTCGTCGCAGGAAACCCAAGTAGCCTGTCCGTGCATATACTTCACCCGTATTTCCTGTCACTAGGCGAGCACTGAAGTGATCTGCATAGTCACTTTCATCACCGTAGATGGTAAAGTAACCACTTGCATTATGACTTGACTGCACCCATATCTGTAACAAATCACACACCTAACTGTTTCTGTACTGAGTTGAACGAAAGAAAATATATGAAACTGCTGAATTTTTCAGTCACAATAAAACATCAAATTAACAATCAGAAGTATCTGAGAATAATTCTTTCAATCTGAGACAATAGAATTCTTGGTAAACAAGAGTGGAAAGGTTTAATCTACTCTGAGAAATGAGTTTTCAAACATGTTTCTTGTAACTTTAGGTCTCTGTCCGTAAGAGTCTTGCTGCATTATATATCTGCTGCTAATTTGCTTCCAAATCCATGACTACCAACAAAACAAGGGATGTGTTTCAGTAAGTGATTTTACGAAACTTGGTGAGAGATAACTGGCAAAATTCTGTGAACTGCTGTAGAATCCTAAGTCAGTGAAAACAGCTTCCAGTGAATATGCAATATATACAGCAGGACCAGCTATCCCATTACTGCAAGAGCTCTGCCCTGCATCCCACCAGCTTGCCAGCACCAAGCTGCTGCACAAGGAAGACCACCAATGTTAGCACAGGCTAGCCCGCTGCAACAGGAACTTCGCCCATCATTCATCAGGCATGTTCAGCTTCCCTGCTCATCTGTATATTTTGTTAACAGCAATAAATATTTGTTACAGTTTAATGTGCTTGTCTCTCCATGTCACCAGATTCGACATCCCACAAATGAAATGAGATTTGCATGTGCACACCTCTCCAAGATGTGAGTCACCACACTGGCCTTTGGTTTCAGGGTTGGCAATGATGACTTTAACTCCAGGCAGAAGCTTTCCTGACTCCATGAGGCAGAGAGAATGTGGACTGCCTCTTTCCACCAATGACACTCGGTCATTGCGTAATGCCCGTAGATCTACATACACAGTTGATGGCTCAGGGCTTGATGCTCCCTGCAAAAGAATCAACAGGTGTGAAATTATCTTCAGTTACAATTATCTTGTTCTTTGAAATTATATAACAGTTGGTATAAGAGGCTGACAGATATTAAAAGAAATATTTGGACATGCTGAAGCTCATGCCCCTCTGTCTGGTGTGACTATGCAAGAAATACATTCATTTTTATTTATTATTGTGCAGATGGGGTACAATCACAGACACACTGAAAGATTACTGATCCAGTGTCTTACAGCCTAGACTAATGAAAATTATGATTAATTACAGAAAATGACAACTATATCTGTTAAGCATACTGATGCATATGTTAGACATTATAGTCCAGGAGAACGATGAGCATCCATTGAAATCACTGTGTGTTCGAATGCAGAGTTGTCTGTGAACAGTGTATTAAAAAGAAACACCAATGGTTTGGGATACAAATATACAAGCCATAGAATTCTGTTGGATACACACACAGTATGACCATATTTAGACAAGTGACAGGAAATGTACAACTGCTACAACTACAGTCACACATACAACTGCAACAGAATTGACTGCAAGCACTGATAATGTGGGGCACAATCTCTTCACAGACACTTTATTCTCATCCTCTGACTTACATGACAATTAAGACTGTGATGCAGTCAGATCAAATAGAAAATGAATGCTGAGGAATTCTGGAAAGAAATTGGAAATGAAACAGGGTTATATATTAGGGCAAGGGGTAACTTGACGGCAGTAGTGTTGACATACTGGCAAATATGCATTGTCCTCCAGCATGGAGATGCTCTGAAACTAGCCTCTTCACAAGACTACAATAGACATATGAGTAAGGAAGGGTGCCTCAACCACAGACAATACAGTAGAAAAGCAAACCCCTTACAACTGACCAGACTTCATGTATGACACAGAGAACATACGCCACTGGAAGGAAAGACAATTCAGTGTCACGTGTACAGCGATAAATAAAGAAATAAGGAATGTTCAGATATGACCCATGCAATGTGAGGTTGTGTTATCCCACATGTGTGAGAGTCCCTGTTTCAAACCCTAACACACAAAATTTCATTTCTGAACACTAACACTACACTGGAAAAAGAACACGCACATTTAAGGAATAATACAAATGTCACTGTACTAATACTATTTGAATAGCAATGTACTGATAACATGGTGAGGCTAAGGGGGGTTGGGGATTTTATGAAAGGCATTTTGTTCTGCCTATGACAGACACAACCTCAATCTCCACAGATTATGTTGAAGAATAGATCCAATTTCACAGACGTCTTCTGCATGACCACCCAAATTCCTTTTTTTTTTTTTATTCTGAACTGGAGAGCAAGTTTTGAGAGCCTCTTACTGTTCACAATGTCAGTCTGTTAGCATATTGTTTGTTACTCAGTATATATAATATCCAGTCTTCTAGATATACTGCTATCTTCTGAAATGTTGGTATCTATCTATTAAACTACATGTCATCACATCCAGGAAGACAATAAAATCATGTAGTATCATCCAAATGAGCAAAGATCCCACAGCTAACACAGTACATTTATAGGTTATGGTGGTTTAACCATTTTCTATGGCTCACTGAGTCTCCTATTTACTGAATAAATATTTAAGTTCATACTGTATATATTCATTTTTGTTTTTGCAGAATTTCATATCTGCAGCTTGAATTTTACAGTCTTTGAACATTTACTGAATGTACACTACTAACTCTTCTGAGTCACAGAAGACTATGTAAGTGAAGCCTTAAGAATGTTGCACTTTTCATGTAGGCAACATACCATAATTAGAAGACAGCATTAGAATAGCTATTCAGGCTAAATTTTGCATTGTAAATTATTCCAAAACCAGAACCAAATACAGCAGAAGCATGAAAAAATGTATTGTACCATGGTGCCTGAATGGCAGAAGAGTGGTACTAAAAGTAGCATCTATTCCCAGGCAACGGCCCCATAAACACACTATCGTGGCAAAAGGACATGCAAGCAACAATAGAACTGTTGGAAGAGGTGTTTTCTATGCAGTCCATGCCAAGGCTATGTAACAATGACCAATGGGACGAGTTTGTTTGTCAGAAGTCAGCAGTTAGCTGTGAGTCAGCAACCATAGCTGCTTGCTGGCCATTAGCAAAGAAGAGGAATCTCCAATGCTAGAATCTCCTACCAAGCACTACCCAGTGAACACAGAATAAACTGTGAAGATTTAGTGCATGCTGTAGAGGTTTGTAGAGTGTATAGATCAGTGAAAGTGTTAACAGTTATTTGTAGTTCTGAGTCATAACTGTTCAATAAATCCAATTATCAATTCAAACCTCATGTATAATCACTAATATGTGATAATATTTTAATAAAACCACTGATTTAATATAGTTATTTAACATAACACCTAAGTGGCCTCCGTAGTCTAGAGGTAACGTTCCAACCTCATGACTCGTGGTACGCGGGTTCAAATACCCGGTGGAGGTCGTCGAATTTTTAAGGGTGGAAAAATTCAGGGAACAAGTCCTCCGGGAGGGACTTTAAGCTGTGTGTCCCGTGTCGTAACTTTACGACACGTAAAAGAACCTCATATCCCCAAAGGGGATCACTGAGCCAAATTCCAGGACGTTCCCACCCAACAATAGTCTCTAGGGCCTCCAATAGGGGGAAGCATTATAGACACCGCTAAGCAAGTGGCCAAACTTGCTTGCTCGGTGGGACTGATGGTACGCACCATTTATCGGTAGGGTATAGAGACTGGTAGAATATCATAGAGGGAAGCATAATAGATCAAACTGGTCGCGGTGCATGGGGAAACCCACCCTCTCTAAATAATAATAATAATAATAACATAACACCTCAAATCTCACCTGTAGACATATTGCAACATTTACACGACAGCCAAAACTGGTAGATACAGCCCTTGGACTAAGACCCAGTGCTGAGAAGAGTTTCGAGAAGCTAGTTGTGAGTGTGATGCGTGGCCGTTCCTCTGCTACAACTACACATGTTCTCACACAGCCTAGATTCACACCTCGCTGCTTCAGTTGGTTGACAGACGATCCTAGACCTTTTGTGCACAATTCCATTACACCTACAATATTAATGAAAACTGATTATGATCAGTATCCAGCTTACAGCTGAGATGACGTTCTTATAGAGCACTAAAAATCAGAACAAGAAAGGATAAATGCAAAACACAGAATATTAGGACATTTTCAGAAACACGAAAGAGAAGTTTGTGAAATTAGACACAGTGTGTCAGACATGTATTACAAACAGATGACAACAAGGGAGATAAACAGAATAGTATGTTTGACATGATATTAGAGACATGTGTACATGCCCATAAAGACATCATGGCGAACGGGGATATAAATACCCCACACAACACACCGCAATTCAGTGCCTCAATACAAAAGGCAAAACAACTTAACAACACATGTAGGAACACACAACACAGAACTCAAATAAAAATTGCAGTTAATGAAATATTACGTAAGTACATACACTTTTATATAAAGTACCCATAATATAATTGCAGATCCTTATTCAATCATATAAAAAAAGGGTGAAACAACGCTGCCCAGACCTCAGAGGCTGGCAAATAACACCAACCTCAGTGGTTCAAGATTTTAAACACTAAGAACATTAATAACATATTTTTACTTAAACACCTTTTAACTTAATTAAAAATCTTTATACAAAACTTTAAGCTCATGAACTATGATCTATGTAATAATAGTTCCTTAACACGTTGCTATTGCCTTCTGAAGATGGTCACAACTGACCGAAACATGTAAAGGCATTATATAAATATATACTGAGTCACAATGGATGGTGTTGTCAAATCATTTTATAATGATTAAACATGATTTACTGCTATCAATGGGGCTGAAAAAAAAAAGATGATAATTTTAAGTTATACAAGGGGAAAGGCCTGTCATAGGAAAGGCCCTGAAAGCAAATCCATACTGAACCTTCTTCTGAAATGGGTGATTGTCTGCATAAAAAAGATGGACAGGACAACATTTTGGAAGCTGGCTGTTCTGCTTCATGCAGAAGATGAAGACAGGGTCCACTGCCAAAATATTCTATGTTCTCTTCATCAAGAGAATGTGCTTCTTTGGTAATACTGCATTACTTTCACAAATCTTTAAAACAAATGACACTGAATAAGACCTCAAAATTTATTTGAGGTGAGATCTTTTACTAGTAGGAATATACCTACCTTCAATATATATTGCTGGACAGAAACCAGAGTTTTGTGAAACAGTTTTGAAAATTGTTCACTCACCATAAGAACAGAACGTGTCTCTAACCCTATATTGGCTAACAGCAGTCAACCATAGTGCTGGGTTCACCTCCACTTCTGAAGGAGGAATTAGAATGGAATGGTGACCAGAATAGATGCTGCAATTGAATACAAAACCATTATCAAAAACTAAGGCCTTCATTTAATTACATATACATCATAATCAGTGGATCAAGAGCATTAATGCCTGCTTGCTTCCTGATCATACTTTCATTCTTTCACCCTGAAGATGGAGGCAGTATGTTCCCCCCAAAATTGGTGAACTTCTAGTGGAATATGTGGCACTACATACCAGAAGACAGTACTCTTCATAAATGAAGCATTTCCAAAATATGAAACTTATGGATAATTTTCGAAACCTAGCAAGTAAACAGCCTACACAATATAGCAGCAAAGTCAGAATCAAGTCTGGTTCAGCACAGCAAGGAAGCACAATATACATTCCTTCTATCACTGCGTAAAGATTATTTAAGAATACTGCATAATTAATAGAATCAGGGAAGCGGTCCATTAATTTGTTCGCGATTCTCCTATGGGTTTGCCTTCATGGAGATAACATGCTTTCAACTGATGATGAATTGTTGTAAACAGTGAAATGAGGGCATCATCAGAAAAAAATATGGTTAATTACTTTAAGATACTGATGTGGGAACCTCCCACATTCCAACACGCAGCTTCACCGGTCTAACAGACGACATTCAACTTCTGCTCAAGCCAAGCCAATGTCACATTGTGACCAACATATTTATACAGCACTCACTTTCCAGCCCACCTGGAGGGAATCGCGAGTGCTGGCCAATCAGCACAACTGCACCTTTAGCTCTGCCCAGCAAGCATGGTATAAAAGGCAGAGCTCAAAACTCGCTATCACAGTTCTTCTTCAAGCATCCTCACTGTGCCGAAGACAGCTAACGTAGCTACTCTGATGACACAAAGCAGCAGCTCTCCAGCGAACAACACTGAGACAGCTGTCTATGCCATCACCAGACCAGCCAGACTCCACTCTCACACTGACTCATAACCGCTGGGTGGCCATAAAGGCCTGGACTATCCAAGTAGGCTCGCTGGTATCCTGCCAGCTCGTTAACCCTTTGACGTGGTCATTTAAATTCCGCGGCCGCGGCTCCTGCGGTAATATATTCAGCCGGCCATTTAAATTTTGCTCGAAAATTATTTATTCATCATTGTTCTTAAATTCTATGAGATAGGAACATGAAACTTTCACTAAAATGATCTTAAAAGGTGGTTTTATAACCTTACCTTATAATATGAACCCCCTTTATATCTTCAATGGAAGCAGGTTGTTTAGTATTTGAGCAGTGAATGGTACGCTTTGAAGGATGAAACTTTCACTAAAATGATCTTAAAAGATGGTTTTATAACCTTGCCTTATAATATGAGCACCCGGTATCTCGGCTATGTAAGCAGGTGACGCCTTGAAGCATTAGTCTAAACACAGCGCTGGCTCAAATCACCAAACCAATACTGCGTATCTTTACTTTTGCTTTCTTTTTTCTAACCACACTTCTGTGCGGCCCTGCCTTCTTCCCCGTGGGGGGAATACAAGTGGAAATGTCCCTCCGTGAGTCGTATATTTTGACAGATTAGCTGCAGTAAATTCAACCTTTGTGTTATCATAACAAGGGTTTGGTGCTTCTGCGTTTCAGATTCCAACCTTTTCGGCTCCCCAGATGTCGTAGGGGTGACCACAGAATTCATGAAGTTATTATAAGAACTGGCTGGTATATAGAGAACGAAAGCAGAGCTTAGCTGGCTCAAAAAAAATATTTATGGTCATCCCTCGAAACGACCACCAAGGTCAGTACGATAAAATGGCGTCAACTGGAGCGATAATGAGTACTTTTCCCTCCCCCACACACATCCGTATCGTCTCAGGGGGTGACCACAGTGTTCTGCCTTAAATTGTGGCGTTTTTCTAAGAAATGGGTGCTATGTACTGTGCGAAAGCAATCGATTTTACAAGAATAAAATTTTGGACAACCCTCTTCTAAGAATGCCATTTGAGTGTGTCAGTGTGGCCAGCTCGGGGCAATATCATATTATAAACACATCACATCACGTCTCTCCTGTTTATAACTTCGTAGCAAAGAATAAACGACATTCATAGCGGTGAAACCGCTAGCAAGAGCCACAGGAACTTTGCTGCAAGACAGGCATATGTAACAATGACTTATCTCAGCTAAACTCATTGGCTTAGTATACTCTGTTCTTGTGACAACAGGCCAGCGAAAAATCTAACAATCTACAGCAAAACCATCAATTATTATGGGCGTTATAACATAGGTGTGCAGCTGGACGAAACATACACGCCGAACCCCCCCAGACGATTTAAATCCCTGACGAAACATACATGACGAACCACGGCAACGGGTTAACAGCTCAGCGACCGTAAAGGAAGGCCCATGCTACTACTAGCGCAAGCACGGCAGAACAAATGGCCCTTTTCAGGGCCTGCAAACTTAACATCGACATTCCACATAGCTTTGCAGCTATTCTGTACATTTGAGAATAATATATACAATTGTTATAGTTTTACGTGGTTGTTTCTTAGAACATCGACATCCCACACTGTCTTACTTCGTGGACGCAGTGAAAATTACTCTGTCAAGACTTATGTTAGCATCCTTAAAGGAATTACATCAAGACCTTCCAAATGAGAGATAATAAAAGTATACAAATATTTCACTAATATTCAAAGATACAAAGACAGAAGTACTCACCTACTCAAGCACCAGAGTGCAAATCCAAGGCCACAGTAGGGGTCTAAACAGAGGGCAATGTGTCTTGAAGGGTAGAGTTCACAGGCTAGCTTCATGGATCTACATAGCGAAGTGACTGCAGCATGGGACATTTTTATGCCTGCCAGCATCCCTGTAGTCGACACACTACACACAAACCCCAACTTTAAATACAACTTGACAGAGCTAAGATACACTTCCATATGTTTTACTATACATCACCTTCTTTCCATAAATGACCACCAGCATTCTTAGCATATTTTTCTTATTTCAAAGGGAAAGAAGGTATCATCATGTCCATATGTCTGATATCCACAACCTACTAACTTCTGATCCAATTTACAAACATTCATGGAACTCATGTTGCCAGCGGGCGCTCCACCTTTGATTGTACTTAAAATGGTTACCTACATATAAAGCATTTTAAATAAAAATATGGTGGCAGTGCAAAATTTTAACTGCTCACAACAGGCTTCTTTAATTGTAGATCTAGAACATGTCTGTCAGAATTTAATCTGTGATAAAAAACTGAATAACCTGAAGAGTAAAACTTAAAAACAAATTTCAGAGCAGACCCTGCTGTCATACATATACACTGAATCTACTGTGCAGTGCAGGATCAGGCACAGGAGTTGAACCTGCTTCCCATCTAACTGGGCTGACTCATTATGCATATGTTTCCTCCCTAGCTGTCCTGTCTAAAATAATGCACTGTGTGTGCGCGCACTTTTTTATAAAACATTTTGGCTGTGTCTGTGCATGTGCATACCACAAGGGCATGTGTACAGAGAAATTCTGTGCTCCATAAAATATTCTTCAGTTACATGATTGCTCTACCTGAAGTCAAGATATGCCAGCATCTCAGCTGTGGGAGCTCTGTACATCACTGGCAGCTTCTTTTTGGGCATGTCATCAGTATCGAGCGTTACTGGCCATGACTTGATGTCCACAACATTGCTGGCCTCCTGCAAACATCGAAATAAGTCATTAAGATATGCAGATATAGCACAAATGCAGTAACTGTTTTATACTAGTAAGAAATCGTGGGGAATGTAGGTAAAAAAGTTTTGCATGCACGCCCACACGCACACTCTCTCTCTCTCTCTCTGTAACAAAGTAGTATATAGAAAATTATAGAAAAACACGAAAGAAAAATGCTGCTGTCAATACTCATGTTTTATATTAGTCTTACCGCTAAAATCTTAAATCACTTAAAATCACTTACATATGCAACAAAGAAATATATAGAATTTAAAGTTTTATCTTATAAAAGATTAACAATCTGGCAAAAGAACCTAGATTACACATCATGAAAAAAATCTTCACATCAAAACATAGAAACTAATTAAATTTTTTACATGGGCAGCTCACAGAAAACTAGAACCTATATGCAGTTTCTGAGATTCATAAAAGCCAGGGAATTTATTGACCAGTTAAATGACTTCTACTTTCTTAAGGAAAACTCTGCTTCATGGAGATATTTACGATAAGGCATTTAATTTAGAGAGTCTAGGATACAGTGATAATAAAATGTTCATCAAACGACAAAAAAAAATACTGTCACAGATTTCAAATATGACAGAAGAAGTAAGGATTAAAACCTACACCTGCCAAAGATAACAATTCCACATCCAAATAATGTGAAACCATGCAATAATACCACACTAGGTATCAAGCATCTTTTTGTTCCTTACCAACAAGAACACTCAATCATGGTGACAATTTAATAGCAGCAATGAGGTGAGTTCAAAGACATCAATTTAATATCCATGGCTCCTCTCTCTAATATAACTCTGTTGGTGTTATCTCTCCTGAATTACTCATGAAAACTTATTTCAGACTCACATAAATGTCAGGAAATATGTGTTCGAGTATACAGTGGAACCTTGCTTAACGAGCACCTCTCATAACAAGTAATTCACATAACGAGCAAAACAAATTGTAAAAAAATGACTTGCTTAACAAGCGATGTTTCACATAACAAGTGACGAGAGGGGAAGTCCCGGATTGTGCGCTTGCTACATCGGTCTGTGTTTAGCACTTGTTCCGTTAGCATCTTAGTGTCGCTTGTGATCACACATTTTTCCAAACTTGTGTTCAGACATATTATTTCTGATTTTTTTGTGCAAACTTTAATAACCCTTGCAAAAATGTCCCCAAAGAAAAAGCCGCAAAAGGACAGCCACAAGAGAATAAAAATAACAGTAGAAATGAAACGTAAAACCATTGAAAAGCGATAATGAGGTGTGAGCATGGCTGATCTAGCACACATATACAATTGGTCTACATCAACAATTTGCACTATCCTCAGGAACAAGGACAAGATTAGGGAGATACATGCTTTAGATGCTTCAAAGGGAGTGATAAGAATATCTACCCAACGGTTACATATTCTCGACGACGTTGAAAGGTTGCTCCTCGTATGGATAAACGAAAAACAATTGCAAGGCGACACTATTAATGAGAACATCATTTGTGAAAAGGCGAAAGTGATTTTCGCCGACCTCATTAAGAAGACGCCAGGATCATCAACGGTTGAAGAAGATGCATTTAAGGGAAGCCGTTGGTGGTTCAAGAAGTTTAAGAGAAGAGCCGGCATCCACAGCGTTCTAGGGCATGGTGAAGCAGCAAGCTCCAACACAAAGGCAGCAAAGAACTTCTTCAGTGACTTCAAGAAGCTTGTAGATTCTGAGGGTTACCTGCTGCAACAGGTTTTTAATTGTGATGAGACGGGTTTTGTGGAACTTGTGGAAGAGCACAGCCAGAGCTGACCACCAAAGAGCTTATGGAGATGCATTGTGTTTCAGAGCAAGAAGTTCTGGAGGAGAGTTTGTCAGAGGAGGAGGAGGAGGAGGTAACAGCAAAGCAACAATCTTCTGGCGGAATAAGAGAAATGCTGAAAGCATGGGAAACTGTTGCATCGTACATTGAGAAGCATCACACTAATAAGGCAGTGGCTATGTGCTCTACAAATTTATGTAATGATAATGCTGTGTCGCATTTTCACCAAATTTTGAAGCATCGGCAAAAACAAATGTCTCTAGACAGCTTTCTAGTAAAAAAGAATTAGATATGTATCATAAATAATAAACTAATTATTTCGATTTTTTTCTTGTTTTCTGCAAATTGAATTCGCATTCCAGGTTGGTTCATTCCACATAGAAGAAAAGATGAAGATGATTCACGCTCCTTAAGTATGTATACATAATTTTCTTTGAATAAACGTTATACATAACATTTTTTTAGTATTTTTTTCGGCATGGAAAACATTATCGTATTTTACATTAATTTATATGGGAAAAATTGTTTCGTTTAACGAGTGTTTTGCATTACGAGTAAGATTCTGGAACGAATTATGCTCGTTAAGCGAGGTTCCACTGTATCTCTATCAGGAAGCTAAATGGACTCCACAACTGGGCATACAAAGTCGAGAGCTGGCGTGAAGGGTCAATGTTCAGTTGTAATTACCAATAATCAAGATGAGATTATTTCCTTAGGAACAATACCTTGGACTTCAGCAGCTTGATCACATTCTGGTTGGAAAGCACAAGTACAGATTTACTAACATCAACAATCATTCGCACTGTTGGCAACGTGGTCTGCAGGTTCTGTGGATGTGGTGGTCTGATTGTCACTGGAACGGCACCTGTAACATATGACATTCAATATGTGTTCACCCAGTCCTCAGCTAAGTGAGAAATGCTAAACAGATGTGTGTATATATACAGATAACAAATTCTCCAGCAGATGTCCACAGCCATGTTAATAAAGCAATAAATTTCTTGTACCATGAAGTAGTTTAGGAAAGGAGGATACCAAAATTTCAGTCAAAAATGGAAGTTTAATACTTTAAATGATACTCTGATTTCAGTATTAATACAGAAGTTTAAATAAAACAATTGGAGTTAATTTGTAGGCAATGTATGCTGTAAACAACAGACTTGTCCTTGGACATCAGATCTTGATAACTCCAAGGTCACATGCATCTAGAGTATTCAAGGCAACAGGAGGTAAGGAGATAAACAAAGTCAAACTGCTTCTTAAATCTTGGTTGGCTATTTCTCACGCTTCATTTTCATACGTGTGCATATATTATTAATGATATAACTTAAGACCCACTTATCCAAATTGCATGGAACCTTGACCCAGTATATTTCAATGTATAATGAAGACCCTTCAAAACAGAACTTGTAATTTAGTGCATACCAGCCCCAAAATAAAATAAATATTTCAATATTAATAAAAATAATTAAATAAAATAATTGAGCTAATTTGTAGGCAAATTAAGTTATACATAAAAATTCCTTCATGGAGATTAGAGATTTACTCTTTAGGTGCATCTTGGTAAAAACATAGCATGCCTAGCTCTAAATTTGGCTAAGATATATCACAATATTTGAACTACCACTGCATATGGGCATCAATAGGCCCCAAAACTGGGACCTTCAATTTTTTTTTTTGCAAAATTTTTACAAAAATCTGATCTCAAGTATGTTAATGAACTCACAAAAGGTTTAACACAGATCAGAACAACGTACAAGTTTACTATTTTTGGTTTAACTTTCTCCAGATGTCAGTACCATCCTCCATTTGGTAAGCATAAGATTGCATTAATTTTGGAATATTAAATTTTTATCCTGACTTCTAGAACAAAATATGACATGGAAAATATAGTACAAAACAACGTACAAGTTTACTATTTTTGGTTTAACTTTCTCCAGATGTCAGTACCATCCTCCATTTGGTAAGCATAAGATTGCATTAATTTTGGAATATTAAATTTTTATCCTGACTTCTAGAACAAAATATGACATGGAAAATATAGTACAGAGTCATACTCAGGATAGCTGAGAGAGGTTTGATAATCATATAATGATACTTATTAACATCAACTTATCTGAATGCCCATTTCTCTAGGTCAGTTTTACTCTCATTGCATTATCAAAGAAGAAACTGATTCCACACTTTGCTTTTCAAAGCCGTTTTATTTGAATTAAGGTTTTTTCTGCCTGTTCTGTATAATACAGACTTCAATCAACTATCAAGGCTGATTTTACTTAGTCACTCAATGTACATGTCAGTACAGTACAGTACCATACAGCAGTCAATGCTCCCTCTTGAAACACCACAATCCCTGCATTAATACTTCAGCACTACATAAAATCAGAATTTGATACAGAATTTTTATCTAACCCAAGAAGTCTTTTGCACCTATTACTACAAATAAATGAGAAATGTTAATTCTCACAGATCCTCTTTATATCCATTCATTTTCCATAAATCCATACAGAAAACAATTTCATAGGAAGTGGAAATAGTCACAAGTCAAGAAGTACAACGTACGTATAGTCATACACATCAATAAGTACATAATAAAGTAAGCCTAAACATGCACATTACTTAATATAACTAAAACAATTCTTAAGTTATTATAATATGAACATAATACGTAGGTCAGTCAAAAAGTTCTCGGAATTCCCCTGCAGATGGAGAACAAGCGATAAGATAGCGCACACACTGTTGTTTTCGGAAGCTCGGCATGTCTGCTCGCGGGCGCAACAGGTCTATACAGGTTTAAGTGTGCAGTGTCGTTACTGTTCCGTTTGAATTAGACGGCACAATGTCGCAGTTCGAACAGCATGCGAACATTGAGTTCGTGTGCAAATTGGGAAAATCTGCTTCAGAGACGCTATTGGCCCTGCAGCAAATTTATGGTGATGCTGCACTAAACAAATCCGCAGTTTATTACTGATTTTCCCAGTTTAAGGATGGGAAGGAGACGTCAGAGGATGACCAGCACAGTGGGAGACCTTCGACATCCAGAACCAAAAAAATGATTGGAAAAGTGCGACAACTGATTCGATCTGATCGAAGAATGACCATCACAGAGTTGGAGCAAGAAGTTGGTACTGTTACTGGCCATTTCTACGTGCAAGTTTTGCAGAGGTTGCGTGATGTGCTTCGGAGGAAATGGCGTGACAAGTGGAAGGGACAGTGGTTTCTGCATCATGATAATGCACTGAGCCACACATCGCTTGTTGTGCCGCAATTCATCGCCAAGAAAAACATTCCTGTCATCACTCAACCACCATACTCTCCAGATCTTGCTCCGAGTGACTTTTGGCTGTTCCCTACTCTGAAAATGGACTTCAAGTGGACAGGTTTTGCAACCATGGAGGACATCAAATCGAATGCAAAGGCTGAGCTCTGGAAGATTCCAAAAGAAGCCTTCCACCGCTGCTTCCAACAATGGTAGGATCAATGGAGCAAGTGTGTATGCGCGCAAGGGTCCTACTTTGAAGGTGATTAGGTAAGCGTTGCCATATGTCCTACCATTAGAGTGCTATACCACCATTCCAGGAACTTTTTTGATTGACCCTTGTAGTACTCTAGTAATAGACACCTAGTAAATAGCAGCAAAATAATAACTACAAATACATTCCATCAACATCCCATTCACTGATAGGTTGTATAAGAATTCTGTAATCTATATCACAGGTTATATACATTAATGATACTGTTAATGCTCACTGTACAATGGAAATTAATGGACTTAATGACAGAACCTTTAATGCATTTAAATGTTAGTATTAGTCAATGAACAAGGAAACCTAATGAACCAAATGGCAGGGCTTTTTAATGAATTTAGATGTTAGTAGTAATCACCGAACAAAAGAGAGTAACGGATTTGATGGAAGTGCCTTGTAAGTAAACTCATGCACTTAACAAGAGTCTCAGTCATGTAAAAAGCAGAGAATGTGAAGTATGAAACCACTAAAGGCAGGACATAAATTTGATGAAAGTACATAGTTTTAATTGAAAGTGTTATTCAGGCCTGTTAGTCACTGATCATCTGTCACATGGGCACGCATGGCTATACTTACCAACATACAGGCAGCCATAGAAAGCACATATGAGATCAATGCCTGGTGGGAATATGAGTGCAACATGGTCCCCTGTGTTGATCTTTCCCTTTTCCAAAAGAAGATTTCCAACACGTTCTGCCTTCTTGTGCAATTGTGAACATGACAACATTGTTGCTACAGCACCCTTTGAGTTGAGCAGTGTAAAGATTACGTGATCTGCTGTGCTCTGGGCCCGCCATCGCAATATCTCTGAGATAAACTGGAACTGGAAGCAACACAAAAGTAAACTATAAACTTGTAGCAGTATGTGAGGGAACATTATACCGAAGTGATAAATTACTGTTTTGTATGTCCAATAGAGACACATTACAAAATTAATGAACTCATACAGTCAACCTTATGAGAGCAGAGACCTCCCAAACAAAAGCTCACTACATGAAGTATATCACTAAATCACTCCATTCACTTGCAGCAATAGAGATCCTTTATGAGTAACTGCCCAGTGTTAAGCAGCATTGTTCACATTTTCATTTCTATCTTACCATGGTCTTCTACTTGGTACTTAATTTCAGAGAGTGATTTTATTTTGGGAACTTAATCTGAACAGTCATCTTCATTTTATACCATGAAACAGGGATCAAATGCAGTACGACAGTCATTCATCAAATACATAAGAAATGACACCTGTAAATTGGTTGCCTGCCCTTAACTTCATATTTACTAACAGTCACACATTTACAAATAAAAGTCACCTAACAAAATACTGAATGAACAATATATTCTATTGTGATTGAGTCACTATAGACTGGGTTTGGATAGGTAATTGGATTTACTGAACACTTACAGATCATAACTACAAATAACTATACCGCCATCCCTAATTCACACACTCCACACTTCACTACAGCAAATGCTAAGCCTTCTTAGTCTGTTGTCTTCACCGTACTGCTGGGTAATGTCTTCCAATAGTGGATGTTTCTCTGCTCCTGGCCTCATGTCCTCACAGGCTGGTATTTATCTTGCAACTAGCTCAGCATTCCTAAGCAATGACTTACAGCAAAATGGGGGCTCCTCCACCTTCCATGCCTCTGCCAGGGGCGATTGTCTGCAATGATGTCCGATGGGTCTGTCTCCCAACTGCTAACTGCAGACTCACAACTCTTGACTGCCCTAGACTTCCCTCTAGATTGGCTGACTTTACTTGTTCCATTGGTATTCATGCTTTAGCCTTGGGACATACCCAACAGATAAAGACCACTTCCAATCGTTCCTCCATTGTTGCATGATATCATTATTGGCACAGATCCACAGATAACACTGTTCCCAACAGTACTTCACTGATTGTGTGGCATAGCATGACAGGTTCCATTGTTGCATCACTGTTTATCGTGTCATAACCAAGTAATGGATCTCTCTTCTGATTGAACTATTCTGGCTTTCAGTGTACATGCCACAATATGGTTCATGACAATTCCCTTTCTGTTATACCAGTGAAGAGTGGAAATCCTGCTCATGTGGTGAACAGTTAAGATATACAGTGAAGTCAGATATACAACACAGTACAACTTAAACTGTGGACTGTTAAACACACAACTCATGACTGCACTTTAAAAATCACTATCACACACAGACTAGTATTCTTAGTCAGGTTTTCACTGCTCTGCTTCTTAACATCTTCCAACAATGGATGTTAGCATACCTCTGGGTTACCGAACTGCTCCCAGCATCAGCTACCAGAATGTTGACTGGCACAAATATGCAAAGACTTTCAACTATAGATTTGTGTTGAAACACCATGGTGTAACTGACAGATCTCCATCATGTAGTGAATGAAATAGCAAAAGTACTGTAACTGCTGTGCTCGAGACTAATTATATCCTACACCAAAAGCACTTTGAGGGGTGGTGGAAAATTCCTTTTTTCAAACACTTACCTAAATGCCTACCTGATCATCTAATTAACTTTCTGGGGACAGAAAATTTAACACTAATACCAAGGTCCACCATCTCACACACTCAAAGTTAATTTCTCAATGATTCATTTTAATGTTATGTTGTAGTCTTAATCTACCAATGGCCATTTGCCAAGTGCTTTCCCACATAAAATTTGGTATGCATTTCTCTCTCACATAAGCATGCATGCACACACAATACTAAAAATTAGAAACTAAGTTTCATGAAGTAAATTTATTCCTGTGCCTAAGCAGCCCATGAAAGTAGATAGGTGGGCTGGAGGAAGTAAAGCTCTACAGTCTTAATTTCAGCACTAGATGCCCTTGAAGCATTCACTGAGACCAGCTACACACTGAGGAGCTGGGGTTTGATTCCCCACAGAGATAAACACTGTATGCAAAGAAGTCACAGCATGAACCTGACTGCTCACCTCCATCCAGCAAAAATGTTATATGGATTCTTGTTTATTTTTTTATTTTTCATTAATTAATGATTTATTCAATTTCTAAGATTCTACATTGTCAGACAGTAGGTTGATTAGTGAATAATGAATAAGAAAGAAAGAAGTCTTGGCCTGAATTAAGGCACTATTCTGACGCTTGCATGAGCTGAGGAAAAGCATGAAAAACCTCAGTCAGAATAGCCAGTTTTCAGGCCAAGATCTGAAACCATGACTTCATGAATAAGAGTGCTCATCACCTAACCAGAATGTTTTGTAAAAATACAAAGAACTCTCCTTCCATATCTATTTATGGCAATAAACAAAAAACTTCAAATTATACTGTGGTTGCATAAACCATAAAATATCATAAACACAATTTGCTCTTAATTCAACATACTTTACACAAACACACATGCCTGAAATTGTATGACAAAAAAATACTGAAAATTCTGTAAGAGACAAGTAACCACAGCAAAAGGCTGTGCATGAAATTATAACTGTGAAGATACAGACGAGCAATCCATCTTCCCACAGGCTGCATGAGTAGAAAAGTATAAAAACAAATTATATTTATCATCTATCATCATTTTAATATGAAAATCTGGTTTACAATTTCTCAAAAATCTTGACAAAAACGTGGCGTTATGAAAAACTCCTTAAGACTTATTTCTCACCTTACGAGCGGAGTCAGACTCCTCATCTACAATGCCCATATCCCTGCCTTGCGCAGAGGCCAGGCGGTTACCCTGAACTATGTTGCCCACCATGACTGAGGCAGGGCCAACGTCTGTAACAAAGTCAGCAGCTAGGAAGCCACATTACAAAAAAATGCTGTTGTAGCGTATTGTAAATCTAAAAGAAACATACACAGTACAATAGTCCATTCATAATACCAGTTACATTCTAACATGTTTCTTGTTTTTTGGAGAAAATTTTCCATGTTCATGGAAATGATCTGGAGGCATGTGAGAAATGATTAGCATTATGAATGAGCTACACAGATACAGAACTTCAAACAGCAAAAATCAGAAAATTCCAAATTTCCACATCAGTTTTTAAAGAATACTATACAAGTTTTTATAAAACATTATTTGATTCCTATGAATTGTGAAATATATTTTATAAGTGCTTTAAGTTCAGAGACGTACACAGATACAAGTGTAAACTGTGAAATTTTTGTAATTCTATCAATTCAGAAGGATAGTACATGCCAATACAAGAAGAATATTATTTCTGTTATGCTTAGTTCAAGTCAGTATATACAGTATGGAGAAATGTGACCTTCATTTCATTCAAATCCAAAAACAAATTATACTGACAATTTAACAAATAAAAATAGTCACATGTTCACATTTGCATAGAGAACATAAAGAACTGTAGCAACTTACAGTAATTATTCAGGTGCTAACCACACATCAACATCAATACTCTTGGATATGTACCAAAACAGCACACAAACCAAACAGTTGTGCATGGAGTTGAGGTTGTGTTATGTCTCTCAGGATCTAAACTCCTTTTCAACAGAACCCAGTTTTTACTTTTTCACACACATGGTGCAAAGAATTATCCAAGATTTTGAGGGACTTACACCTTTGCAGTCCCCTTGGATATGAAAATGTGGTTTCTGGTATGCTATATGTACTGTATATGTGGGTGTGTCCCTGGCTAGTATCTGAATGCATGGATGGATTTTATCCATATCTGGTATTCAAGACAGTATCTATCACAGGTCAGTGCCCAGTGAGTATGAACTTTGAAGCTCCAAAACTAGAGGGCCTTCAGATGGGTATCAAAACAGAAACTGGTGATTTTCTTCAAAACAGCTCTAATAATTTTGACTGGTAATTTATGAAGATGGCCTCCCTAAATAAATATATAACGGTATAAGCGCTAGGTGCCCCAACGTAAAATGTATATTTCATTGAAACTAGCTTAAGGGTCTGATGGAGTTTGCTGTTGTTTTGTATTCTATAACCAACAATGGTCTATCAAGCAACAATCAATTTTGCTTCCAAGGCAACATAATCAAGGTCAGCCATATATAAGAAAGTATGTACAACATCTTTGCACTGACTTTCTTGGCTCTACCCATGATTACCAGATCAGGTAAATAGGGGTGAGGAAAAATTACTACACACTCCATTTGGTAGCACACTGAGCAATGTTACGGCTCTTGGATGATGTCATGCCTTCCAGCCATGTTAATCCCTACCCCTTCATCCCGTGCTGGAGTGTATCACGTGGGATTCCGCTTCCTCTCCCCGTCCCCTCCCCAAATGGCTCGGAAGAAGCCGGTTAGTGAATCAAGATTCATTCGCTGTTTGGATCCACAGCATATCGGACGTACGCGGCCAGCCTGGGATATTTTTCAAATTCGGTTTCGGAAGGTATTCTAAATTATGTCTGGGGGGTTGTGCTCGCAACGCACGTCGGGGGTTTTGCTTGCACTATAGGTTATTGTGTGGCAGAGCGATGGGCTTTAATTTAACGTTACGTCATTGTGTTTTCTTTCCTAGGAATCATCTGTGGGCAAGGAATATTTGTTAATGTTTATTTTGTGCCTGCTGAAGTAGCATGATGGTAAACAAGAGTAATAAGCAGTGAGAGTGGGCTGTTAAGTGTCGTCTGATGCTGCAGTTAAGGCAAGAGTAAAGTAACTGACAAATGTGGTCACAGGTTGTATGTTTTGGGGCCCACGGCTTCTATTAACTTCTAATTGTTGTATTCTGTTTTATTGTGTTTCTCTTATTAAATTAATTTATGATTGTGAACTAGTCTTGTTGACTGGAAGTGTCTCCCTGCTGTGGCTTGGAGTCCCTACTACATCTAGGGAGCATTGTGAACATAACATGAGAGCCCCTGACGATGCGCCGTTCCTATCTTGGACGTAAGAAGTGCTAGAGATCAGGAAGTAATCGGCACAACATATACTATTATAATGTTAGTGTTGGACCATTGCTGAATGAAATGAATTACGTGATATCCTCACAGATGTTACCCCAGTGCTTATGTACCACATCAAAAAAGCATATACAAAGAGTGCAGGTAGAAAGCTCTGTACTGTTTTAACTCTAACATTGGCTGGAGGTATGTGGTCAGCAGAGTCTCTGCTACTCATAGTACAAGGGGCTGGAAAGGCACCACACCCAATTTGGATGTGGTGATAGAAATTCTTGCCACTGCCAGAAATCAAATCTGACCACTAAACAAGGTGACTCTCGCAGCAACACTTCTGCCTTATATTCTAGAGGTTCCAGGTTAAAATCACAGGAGGGACACAGACTATCCAGACAGGATTTTTGTAATTTTCCTCAGAAGCTCCAGAAGAATACCAGGACAGTATCTAGAAATAGGCTATGACAACTTCCTACCACACCCTTTCCAATTCATTAATCATCCTACAACTTTGTGCCATACAGTTTGAGTTATGGATAGTGTCATTAAGTAAGCCATAAAATAAATAAAAAGGAAACAAAGAAACCAGGCCATCCAGCCCATAGCCAGTCACTTTACTGGGTCAACCATTGTAGTGGTAGTTGGTTATATTTTATGCTGGGAAATCTTCCTAAACAGGAACATTATTTGCTGGACCACTTTATAGAATGAAAGCTACCATACCCAAGTGATTTATAAGGTTTGTTCCATTACATATTTATCAGAACAAAAACACCATCAAGGAAGTTATAGTAAAGTGTATTTTACTGAGTATGATGAGTCAGTTTTGAGAAATGTAACAGTATTTATGTATGCAATATTTATTTGTACATATTGTTACATTCTGTTTTTAGTTTGCACTGATGTGTTCTGCATCTAGTTTTAGATATACCAATATGCTTCTTGTTATGACCTGACTTCATAACTAGCAAATTAAATCGGTGGTATTGTGGCAGCTCATATGTCAGAGGCATCTGATTTGAATCGTCAGGAAACCACCTATCCTAGTTACTCTGTGTATTTCCTAAGTCATGCCAAGTGAATGAATTGTAGTAGAGAATGGCATTTCCTTCTCCGTCCACCTGAACTCACAGTATGTAACCACCACTACATCTTAGGTCCAGCGACTGAGACCAGCTCTTTCTGGTGTGTCAAACCAAGTAGGAACCTTTCCTACCTTACACATGTTGATTAACAACGTCCAAAATAACGACCATATTTATTGAAACACACCATCAATAGAAACATTCAAACTTTCCTGTCATTACACCTTGTTCAACACAACATAATCCTTGCTGTTTGTCTGCATTTAATAATCTATGAATAAATAGAGATGTACGAATATGGATGAATCCTGCATCAGTTACGAAGATTAGTTTATGGCAAATGATATAATAGAATGACCATGTACAGTGAACTTGAAAAATATGGAAAGAAATGGTTGTGGCCTATTTAAAGCACTACCCTTGCCTTCAACTAGTGGGAATGTGGTAAACCACAAAACACTTCAGTCAGGATTATTAATATCCAAGGCAAGTTTCAAATGTGGTAATCTCAAATATAGTTATAAGCATTGTGCTTGGGCCATTTACTCAGTGAGAAACATAAGACAATCAAGAACTATATATAAGCACACTGACTGGAATGTGACTGTCCAGTGCCATAATACTAGACATACAATTATGAAATATTTACAAAACTAACTCTTGTATAAACTACAATACCAAAACTACAGCTTGAGATTACCAATAATATCTACTGCAATAATCTCACAAAATATAACCAACAAAAGGTGAAATGGTGTTTACATATATAGCAACTTATTTAATACTCAGAAACAACAAAATTAACTCGTAAGGTAAAAACATATTTGTATGTACATTAGAGAAAGAAGATAACACCTAATCAGTTAACACAAATACTGACAGGAGATAACATAAACCCTTTTGTCTATATTATGAACTTTTTAAATAAAGTTTCAGGCAGTCATAGGACAAGTGGGTTAGAGTTGTGTATCAGGCTTATATAAATGAATGCACCCAACTGATATTCTATTGCCTTTATGCCCATTCAGTTGAAAAAGAAGAAAATGTATTTAATGGACGAATACTTAATTAGTAAGAGTGAGTTCAATTATAAGAGCTGCAGTAATTGAATAGATGTACACCTAAACTTACACACTACACACAGTGCTTTATGTAAGATTAATTTGATGATGATGATGATAAATTTCATAACAGAATAAACAACAAACATAAGATTTCATAAAGCAGTTACACGTGACAGATGGAAATTAATGACTTCAATAGAATCTATAGCATGTAGCTGATTTAGCTAAAAAAACAAATGTATCTAACTGTCAATTCACTGCTAAATTCTATCCAGTATTTCCTCATTCTGGAATCATCTGTTAATTGAGGAAGTTCAAACAAAATTTTGTGTTATCTTCCATCAGTGTTGCTGTAGCATTTGATCTTTCTTTCTCAGCAACATAGTTCCTATTACAAAAGTGCTTTATACTTTTTTAAGAACATATAGAAACTTGGTAGCATATTAGGTGCTCCTAACAAGATAAAAGATTCACAAATTGCTACTACTGGAAGAACAAGATAATACTGGCATTAAGCAAAGTGCAGCTGTATCAAGTACAGTACTGGCATGGTAACAGGCAACTAAATTCAGGGACTGAGTAAGATTCTCTTGTTTACCAACTGCACTGCATATGTGCATTCAAACAAAATGCCCATGCTAGAAGAATGTAAGACCTATCTTTTTTAGGGCACATGTATAGTGGAGCAGTTAGGCAAATGTCCAGCAGCAATACAAGGAAAGCAATAGCTGTTCATAGTGAAGCATTTCCACTTATGCCTACCACAGCACAAAGAAATACTAAACTCGTTTTTCTTAAGAGTACATCATGACAGTACAGTACAAGACTTCAACAGCAGCCCAGCATGGACCAAAAACTTCAACAGTACTGACATGAATTCCTTGTCTCTTGTTTCCATTTGACCATCACTTAAAATCCTATTTTTCAGAGTACGAATTATTAATAGGATTAATCAATAATTAGATCACTATCACTGGAGAAGAGCACTGAGTCAAGCAAAGAAAACAAGCGATCTTATTTTAATGTCTGCCTCTTCAACAGAGGGAGCTGAATAGCTTTAGCTAACATTCATTACGCATGTTCTGACATGTCTGTATTGTTTTACTCCACCATACATCACCCATAGAGTTCAGAGTTGTCCTGCTTTAATAGGATTTAGACTCCAATAGGTTCCAGATTCTATACAAAAATATACTGCACCCCTGGTTACTCTGCATGAAAACAAATAGTTCACAACTTTCCAATTGTGAAGTGAAGTAAGTATCTCTGGTTCTCATCACATTGTGATGATGTTCTGATCTGAAAGTGTTCCAACAGGGCTTCTTTAGAGATGTGCGAGAAGAATATTTAATTCTGATTTACACATTGAGTAATGAACTGGAATGCACGCATTAGATTCACATTAATTACCATAATTACTGAGTTCAACAAACTGAAAATTCTTTTCTCTAATGTGTGGTTGTGTAGTGTATTGTACTGTGCTGAGGTACTGCAGGAGTAACTTAGACAGTAAGAAATATGGCCCTTGAATTAATAGCTCACTTATCTTATTACAATGCAATTATGTTTGCAATTGTCCAGTGCCTAAAATATATTCAATATATATGATGTTTCAGAAGTTGGCTCAACTCATATCTTCAGGTGATCAATTGCCAGTAGGCTGACAAACACCTCTCATTGTTTTTATATTTTTAGTAACAATGGCATTAAACACATAATCCTTTCAATATCAAATATGTACTAATTAACTAACTTCATGGAGCTGAGCCCTTCTTGAGAAGCCACCGATTGTGCAGCTACTTTAGAACTTCTCAGCATTCTATGGAACCCAAAGTTTTGTTACTGTGTACACAAGAGCCCTTCACTGGTACCTGTCCTGAGCCAGATCAATCCAGTCCATACCACCCTATTCTATTTCTCTAAGATCCATTTTAATATTGTCCATCCACCTATGACTTGGTCTTCTTAGTGGCCTCTTTCCCTCTGGCTTTCATACCAATATCCTATATGCCTTTATCTTTGGNAGCAGTGACGCGGCGGGTGAGTCAGCGCTCCCCTCAGCGGTAACGTAACGCTCGCGTAATAGGCGAGTAATCACCCCGCATCCTGGCAGCTATGCGCGGTGACGTCACGAGCGGAGCCGAAGATAGCCGAGCCCCGTAACCGGGCAACTATGCAAGGCGAATCAACAGCGGTGACGTAATAGGATTACGTGGCCGTATTGTCCGATCGAGGTTACATAAGGAGCAGCGAAGGCTATTCCCAGTCAGTTATAAAGTAACAGTCGCCGAGTCGAGTTGTAAAGGCAGCCAGTCAGTTGAAACATAACAGCCGCGTGTGCGATAACCAGTGATAACCAGTCATATCTGGAGTGTGTATTTCAGGGAGACTTGTATAGCTCCCGCGTTATTATTACTTGAAGACTCGTGAAGATCGTGTTAAGAGATTTTGTTGTAGGGTTTGTAAAGTGTGGAAACCCGTAATATTGTGATAAGTAATTATAGCCGTTTCTTGTAGATTGTTGAATAAACCAATTAACCATCTTTACGGCGTATTCTGTAACGTAAACACGTTACAATAACATACTTCTACAAGATTTATTTTTGTCTCTTTTTATACTCGCACTTTCTTCTCCCCTTTTAGATCCTTTCTTCAGATCTTGCATTAATTATTTAATTACCCTGACAGTCCATCTCTTTCAGTTCCAATACATTGCAAAAATAATATATAAATGTTGAAAATCACACTCAGCAACTACCAGCCCATTTCAATAACATTCCTTGTCTATAGATGTTTAAGAAGTACTTTCACTGGTCTCCATACAAGGCATACTGGAAAGTTCCTGGACTGTTATTGTTGTAACTATCTCGGTGAAAGAAGACGACACGGGAGATCAAGGTCATACTTTCACAAGCCTATTGCATCAGTCAGCCATGTGACATCACGCCGTGAACACACATTGTTTTTACACAAGTGCTATTTCAACTTCATGTTTTGTTCTGTCTGCGATGGATGACAAAATCAAGCAATGTGTCTGCATCAAGTTTTGCGTGAAGCTCAGTAAATCTGCTACTGAAATCCCTGAAATGATTCGTGAGGCTTTTGGAGAACATTCTTTAAGCCGGACAGTGGTTTCTGCATGGCATTTGCGTTTCAAGGCCTGTCAAGTGTCAGATGAAGGTGATGAACGTTCAGAGCAAACAAGACCCAGCAAAACAAAAAAAATGTTAAAAATATGTGAGAGCTCATCCATATAGACTGCCATCAAACAATCCAAGAGCTTGCAGACACCACTGGGATCAGTTATGGAGTTTGCCAGGATATCTTAACAGAAAATTTGAACATGTGCCGCACTGCCATGAAGTTTGTTCCCTTACTCTTGAAAAATGATCACAAGCAGGGGACACAAAAATGTGTGCCTTGAACTACAAGAGAAGCTAAGGAGGACCCAACATTTACTCATATCTCTAGGATCATAATGGGTGACAAAAGTTGGATTTATGGTTATGATCCAGAAACAAAGCAACAAGCATCGCAGTGGAAGAGCCCACAATCACCAAGAGCAACAAAAGATGTGACAGGTCCAGAGTTCAACAGAGAGCATGTTCATTGTTTTTTTCAATGTGATGGGGATTGTTCACCATGAATTTGTTCCTCCTAACATTATGGTCAACTCTGACTTTTACTATGACATTTTGAGACGCTTGACAGAAAATGTGCAATGAAAAAGACCGGAACTCTGGCACAACCACAAGTGGCTCCTTTATCACGCTGTGCCTGCCCACACATTCCTGAAAACCACAGAGTTTGTGACTAACAACATGGTTATCATTCCCCATCCTCCCTACTTGCCAGACTTGGTCCTCTGTGATTTCACTGTTTCCTAAATTGAAAATGAAACTGAAGGGACGTTTTGAAACAGTGTCTGACATTCACAGGGAATCACAAGTGGTACTCAACAGAATTAAGGAAAATGACTTCCACGGTGCTTATGACATGTGGAAAAAATGATGGTATTGCTGTGTACATTTCCAAGGAGACTATTTTGAAGGAGATGGCAGTCAAAACTGAGTAAGTTAAGCCAGCATTTCTTTCTTGACCTAGTCTGGGAAGTTTCCGATAGAACCCCATATGCCATAGCATCCTACACAATTTACAAAGCCATATAGCATCATGCCAGCCTAGAAAACCGAAATTAACCACCATGGGGATTCGTTGCGCTGACCATGTGACACCCACTATCCACTAAAGTTGGCACTAACTTTGCTGACAAGCGGCGGTCATTCAGTCGGTCAACTCCACTTGCGGACTGAAACCACGGAGTTATATGGCATCATGATAATCACTCCCAGGTGGCATACAGCAGGAAATGCTTCAAACAATCTTAGTGTTTTCAGCAAAAGCATCATTATGGTGATTTTGCTGCAGCATGGGAGCATACTGGCATGCTTACAGATGCAAACTGGGTGTTAAATGGACATTACGTGGTAAAACAAAAAAATCTGTATATTTCCTTCCTGAGACCACAGAGATGGGCATTATGGTTAAATATAATGTATATAACAGGAAGCCTGAAAGCACAATGTCATGGACTCCTTTCCTGAAACATCATATATATCAAATACACTTAAAAAAATGGATAATGTCCAACATAATTACGGTATAATGATTAAACCACTGTAAAAAATAATCATGCCATTTTATTTTCTAAGTTACAAATAATCTAACTTCTTCTTCAAGACCACTCAACTGTTATATAATGCAAGCAAAAGCAGTACTATGTATGATACTGGCTGAGAAAGCAACATACCTGAATGGACCTCACGAGGCTTCGGCAGGTTGGTAACACAAGTGTGAGGACACAGCAGCACATTAGCTGGATGCAGTGTTCCTTCAAGAAACCGGCGCTTTGTCTCTGAGAGGTGAATGCCCCCAAGTGGTGTCTTGGGGAGGTAGTTCGGTGGGACCAATGCCAGGCAGTATATCCCCACTTGATGGATTGAATCAACCGCCTGCAGAACGCGCGACATCCACTGGAAGCTCTGGAAATACCATATACATACAGCAAAAAATTAGCCTTTACTCAGTTTGTAAGCCAACCACTGATGCAAGACAGTCCAATCCAGTTCAATTCATAATTTATAATTCAATGTAATTCCTATGACCTGAACCAACATTACCTTCCCATCTTGTCATCAGTCTTCCGAATGGCTACTTTCCGAGAGATTTCTTACCATATCTATATACAAAGTTTTCCTTTTCTTTACCAAAATTATAAGTAAAGCTCATACAAAGATCCTTGATTTTATTACCCACATACGAGTAGTTAACCTACATATACAATGTTTGTCTTGGATGTATATCAACCATTCCATGGCTATGTTTTTCTCTCATGGTCAAAACATCTTCCCCATTGATTTGTCTTCAAATACTGATATGTGTGTTTTATGTGGATCTATCCCTCCACAACCCCTACATTTTCATTCCATGGTGCTTAATTAATTAAAAACAGGGACAACATAACCTCTATGTCACATTCTTCTGAGTGTAAGACTACATTTTACAAAACAACTAATAAAGTGTGGTGTGTGTGTGTGTGTATATATATATATATATATCAACTTCTGAAGAGAGGAAAATTAGGCTGCCTCACCTCACAAAGCATATAAAAGCTGGTGTATATATAAGGTTGAAGGGTACACAGTTTGCAGACTCTGTGACATCTTACCTCCTCCTCACTGCAGTCAGGCCGCTGCTCTGCAATGACACAAATCCGCTCATCACGAAGCACACGTATACTGAACACAGCAATCCGTCCACGATAGATGAATTTCATAGGTTCCACAGCAAGCACTGTTGCAATGATATCATCTGCATTATGCTTCCGTCCTGTTACTGTCATCAGTCCATCACGTGAGCCACAAACAAACACTAAGCCACCCTGTTGTGAAAAGGATAAATTCCACATTAAATTTTAAGTGTCTGTTTTGCAATAAAATATCCTAACCTCAACAGGGACACAGCATGGACTCTACAATTTGTTGTACTAAGTGAATGTTTATATGTACAATCATGTCCGTACATTTGTTCCATCTCTGAAGGTACTGAACACTACAATGACATTTACTATTAGAGCTCTACATAAAATAATAATAAAAAAATAAAATTTATTCAAGATTTGTACTTAATTTCTGAAACATTTATTTACTACATCCATTGAATTCTGATACTGTGAACACAATGATCATTAGTTCTTCCTGCATTTAACATCAGTGGCATTTCATTACACAGATATGCACATGGAAGTAGCAGGAGATCCTTACTGGGCCAAGAAATCCAAGGAGACCACTGCGTGTATATTCTGCTTCTCCTATTGGTTTTCCATCACTGCCAAGTGGCTGAACCCTGAAAGTGCTGTTGGTAAGGCCTTGCAGACCCCAATACTGACTTCCTGTTGCACCTGAATTTACACAGATCTCCCCCACCTCATCTGTCTTGCAAAGGTAAGATGGCCCATCCATTTTCACAACCACAATCACACCTGCAACATAATAACATTCACAGACTGTTACAGTCTTTACAAAACTTGTAGCATTCCATATGTATTAATAGTGGGGATGGGGCAGAAGGAAGAATTCTGTCTATCTGCAGTACATTTTAAGATATATGACTTGCCAGATCTTTCCTGTTAAAATTGTTATGGTGGAGGCCTGCCATATAAGCCAGTGGTTACCCTACTTACTTCTTCAGGGATTTAAGAGGGAACTAATCTCCTTTCCCAAGGACTTTCATACCATAAAATTGAAATTGTTTTAATTTAAGTGTGATAAGTACAGTTTACTGAACAGTGTTTTTGTTTTCTCCATACATATGATAAGCATATATTATATACATAATATAATTTTCTTGCAACAAAACAACAGCAATTTAAAGACACAGTCACCTCACGAAACATAGCTGAAAGTTACGTATTTCCTTTTGATTTTCATTTACAATAAAGTTCTTACTACTTGCAGACAGTGATATGAAGAGTAATAACTTGGGTTTTCCTTTACATTCTCTGAAAAATTCACTGCATTCTACATTGATCTAATAGAGAAAATTATGAATAAGTGTATGTGTACAAATGTTGAGAAACTTCACTGGCAATGCTATCAAGTCCAACAGAACATATACCCCACAACATATTCTGTAGCCTGTGTTAATAAGAAAATCAATTATGAACTACTTCTGGTATACATTCATTACTGCAGTACATGTAAAAAGAGTTACATATCAGTACAATAGGAGATGAGCCAGAAGCTGTGACACACTGAACATATACAGAAGGAAACAAACAATACTTACAACCAGGCATGACCTGCCCACAGTCTTGTAGAGTAAGTGACGTAAGGGAGTTCTCTTGGTCAACCCGTACAACTCCATAGCTGAGACCAGACATAGACAGCACACCCCTGCCTGTGGCATTTACCCCTGCACGCCCTGGCCTGAAGAATATCAAATACATCGACTATGTGTAAAACGGGTAACTATGATCATAACAATACTGAAAACTGATAAAATTATCAGAAGACCAGCAGAAGTGTTGCTTACATATGTGGTTTGGAAATATATACATATGTGAATTACACAGGTGTGGATAGGATTATATTCTCTTAAACACGATCATTTATTTTGGCAACATAGCGCACACAGTCATTGCAAAAAGACAGAATGACAATCATTTTATTTTATATATCCATTACTGGACAGTAAGGAAAAGTTCTGATTAATGTATATTCCTGTAATGTTTCCTCAAAATATATTTTTACTTACATTCACATTAATTAATATTTCTTTGATCCAGTTAACTCTCAAGATTTCTACTGGAATATTCTGATGTTATGGAAGGAACAACTTGCTTTTACTACATGTTCTGGACACATATTTATAGCTATAAAATACAGATCACTTAATGTAGTTCAAACTATGGTGAATGAAAGACCTTAGTATTAGATAACTTATGTTCACATTAATGAAACTCATACTGTTAACCTTCTATGACTTGGATACTTTCCCTGTTTAGTTATTCAGCATGATAAAAGAACTTATTTCAGTTTATATTCACAGATTTTCTGCATATACTGAACATGGAAAATGAAGCACACCATCTACATTTGTACATTCAACCAAAGCTTCTAAAACTCTCACATATGATATGTTGGAAGAATCTTACACATCAGCTACTCTTTATTTAAACATACAGAGAAAAGAACTGTGCCATGAATGCAGGTCTAGAGACTAGCTCCCTTTACTTTCTTAACTGATATGTATTTTATTTTTACTTATACACTTTGGAAGTATATAGTCCAAAGAGATGACCTTATATTAATATATTAACAAAGTAGAACATATGATTCAGATAGTCAATGTAGATTTTTCTTGGCATTTTATTATACATAGGTAAGTCAATAAGTAAGTTGCAAATGGATACAGAACTTAAACAAATAAGAGCACTAATTTGAAAAATGCTTTTATTTCTCAACATAATCTCCCTGTACATTGAGGCACTTGTCCCATCGTTTCACAAGCCCCTGAAGACCAGCAGCATAAAATTCTTTGGGCTGCTGTCAGAACCAGGCAGTGACTACGCTTTCTACAGCTTAATCATCAGGAAAATGTGCAGCCAAAAGATGATGTTTAAGAGGGCCAAACAAATGGAGGTCACTTGGAGCAAGGTCAGGGCTATATGGAGAATGTTCGAGGACTTCCAATTTGAAATTTCACAGTGTCTCATCTGTCGTGTTAGCAGTATGGGGACGCGCGTGGTCATGCTAGAGCAACACGCCTTTGGTGAGGAGTCCTGGTCGCTTCCGAAGTTACCTGAGGATGTTACAGTAGGAGTCGGCATTTACGGTCCTCTTAAACATCATCTTTTGGCTGAACATTTTCCCAACGATGAACCTGTAGAAAGGGAAGTCACCACCTGGTTCCGACAGCAGCCCAAAGAATTTTATGCTGCTGGCTTTCAGGGGCTTGTGAAACGATGGGACAAGTGCCTCAATGGGCAGGGAGATTATGTTGAGAAATATAAGCATTTTTCAAATCAGTACTCTTATTTGTTTAAGTTCTATATCCATTTGTAACTTACTTATTGATTTACTCTCATATTATATTATATTACATTACATTTCTGCAATACACAATATATTTCTGGTTGTGCTCTATATTTAGATATGACATGCCTTCTGCGTTCTCCATAACATGGCTGGACTCACCTCCTCACAGAGACTGTGAGACATTCACTGGAACTGGCACAAGGACAGATGGCATCGGGCCGCAGCCCTTTGGCCTGGAACACACTAAGGAACTGGTCACATGATGATAATGACCAGGGGTTAGCACCATCCGCTACAAGGAGAAGCCGCAGCGATGACAAACTCACTTCCTTGTGGTCCTTAGTCGCCAGCAACCCCCAGTGCAGGTCCCGTGACTTCACAACAGCTACACTTGCTGCCAACAGAAAATGATATCCAAACATGATTATCCGAAAGTGGTACAATTTCAGTGAATGGCACATCATTACACCCTTAACATATTCATACATGTGGAGAATGGGGCCTGGCTATCTGCTATCAGCTGTGCAACAGTAAGTGTTGAATTATATTCTATACACTAACATAACCTGCAATCCATTTGGAACATTCTGTTAATAATTCTATTATCTAGTAATGCCTGTAAGAGTGATAGTTTGCGAAACTAATTCCCTGTACAGAGATACAAGAAGGACTGGCATTTTCAGAGCATGGATAAGATCATTATCTGGAGTCTGAAAAATTATGCATTACTTTTTGAGAGGTAGGATAAGTGTATAGGGATGTCAGATATTTATGTGAATGGATATTATGTTGTAAAAATTCCAAATGGGCTTATGGCAACATTTTCTGGATCTTCTCATACTAGCCATAGTGTGAAAATATCTCGTTTGTATTCTGTGGAAAGATTACAGGTCCTCTTATACTGTGAAACATATGAATTTTGAATTAAGAGACATATTTAAGCAAAACTGGAAGTATGACTGAGCCAAAATGCTTGGTGTTTGTACAAATTTGCACATACCTCTGTACTTTGTGATCATCTGCATCCATGAGGCAGGGTTAACTTTCATGAGAGCATAGGGAATGAAGACCACATGCATGCCATTGAGCACGCTAGTCAAAACACTGTGCCACAATCCAACTTCACGCTTGAAGTCCAATACACACACCATGTTCTCTCCTTCTGTGTAGTTACATGCCATGGTCTGTGTGCGACAGTGAGCTAGCATGGCTGCTCGTGTCACTGTCACTCCCATCACTGACCCATCACGATCTGTTGTGTACTGTGTACAACAAAACCAGTGCTGTCACTTGACACTCACATAACAAGACACATGGAAAGGTGTATTTTGATGCAGTACATATTTTTCAAATGTGTTTGTGACACTGCAAACTGGAATGGAATCATTGTGTGTCTATTGCAGATACAGTTCTATTATTGCAAACTGCAATTTACAAAACTCAAATCATTTAAAAGTCATGCTAATACCTCATTATGCCTCCTTCCACTCAAATGCTTCCACCTATAAGGTGAGAAAGGAATTACAGATAATTACTTAAATAATGTAATCATTTACTACCATCCATGATTTACACATTGGTTTCTAATTTTTAACATATGAAAATGTTTCACACATTTATGATGCATCTCCATACACAATTTCACATGCCTTACTCCAATAATTTTAGTTACTGACCTCAAAAGGAAAGTTCAATACAGTCTTTACATGCCTGCTACATTATTATTACATTACATTCCTAAAGAAAGAATCAAGACGATATTTTTCAAAGATATACTATCACGGGGCTTTTCAATACCCAAGAATACATGGCACTAGTGTTACTCTTTATCTTGCATAATTGTGTCATTAATATTTTTTAAATGTCTCATAAATAAGGAAAGATGGATAAGAAGAAGAGTGAAATTCTTGTTCTTGTTCTAGCATATCAACCTGTTTTCTAAAGCTTGTGCTATTAATAGATCCCATCTAATCAAACACACTCTTTAACTTCAAAATGATCTACACAAAGTACAAGAATTAAATACAAGTAAGAAGTCAAACAGGTGGAAATAGAGAAACTGTAAACATAGGATGGGTACTGCACTACTCAACTATAAAACTATGGTTTATGTTTGGCACATCACATTCTGTGGAGATCTAAGCTATATACAGTCAACTCTCGATTATCTGGGGGTGGATTAACCGGTTTGCGGCTTAACCGGGGCTACTGAGGCTTTTTTGAGAATTATATGTTGTTTAATATTCATTCATTTTTGTTTCACATGGTGAGTTGTAACACTATTTTCGCACTAGTGTGAACTGAGCTCTGCATTCTTTGGTCCCGTTATGCTAACACAATGTTCTAGGGTAGGGGTGAAAGAATGCAAGGATTTGTGGAAAGTTTCAAGGACAGATACATCGCCCCAGTTAGTATCTTTGTATCGATCTTCAAGTGCGTTAGCAAAATGTCAGGGTGTAAAAGGAAGCGTGTTGTGTTAAGTATTCAACAGAAACTCGTGTGAGCTGGGCTTCAAAATGTTAAGCAGTGACGAAACTGCAAGTTCAGTGGGGGTGCAGCCAGAAGAGCGGGAAGAAAGTGAAAATGAGGAAGAGTTGGACAGTGCTGCTAGTAAGAAAATATGACATGGTGCTGCTCTTAATCATTTGGAATCCTTACTAGACTATCTTGAGAGTGAAGAGAACAGTTTATTAAGTGACAAGCTAATATTAAGTATGCTTCGTATGGATATCCGTAAAAAGGAAAATGCCGTGAAAAAGCAAACGACAATATTATTTTTTTTAAGTGTTAAGTGTGAATATTCGTAAAAAGTGTTGGATGTTGTTGAACACTGTGATTGAAATAACTAAGTCATACTTCAGTATAATGTAAAAAAAAGTACTAAATAGGCCATGAGATGACATAAAAATGAGGTTGAGTAAATTTAAATACAGGTAGGCCTATAATATTATGAAGGTACAGTATTACAGTACTACTTTTAATAACACTTGTCTTAACCGGGTTTTCGATTAATTCTGATTTCCATGCCCACCATTATCCCGGATAATTGAGAGTGGACTGTAATTCAACTCATGCTGTTTTAAAGTTGTTTACATTAAGGGCCCATTGCGAATACAAGATTTTTATTTCTTATTACACACTAAAGTGATAAAAGCTGGGCATATATATATATATTGAATATTTGACACAATAGACAAGGTGTCGCAGAAACCTTGTCTATTGCGTCAAATATTCAATGGTACGAACTAATTCCTCATAAAGCAACTGTTTTTATACCTTGCTTAGTACGACATGCACAAATGCATCAACCTCGTATGTAACGTCATTTTCATTCCTGAATTTCTCTGATATCGTGGGAAAGTTTGATGTGTCTGCCCACCCTCACTTTCTCTACTTGCTGACGTGACTGTCCTGGAAGAATACGACCGCGGGCTGCAAGAGGAGCGTGGGTTTTATGCGAAAACAAGGGTGTGGGGTGGGACTGCGTGAATAGTGCAAGAGGACGCGGCAGGTTGTTAACTGCGTTCCTTTCCTATAATCTTGTCTAGCAGGACCTCACATTGTCTACTTACCCTATAGTGTTCCTGCCTAAACCCAGAGAAGTGCAGTAGCGAAACACACTGTGGTCATTCTTCACTTTTAACTATAACACTCGTGTAACCAAAAGATAAATACAGTTCATCATACTTCCACGATTTCAGTTTCAATATACAACTCTGACTACTATTTGCTGCAGGTTCACTGTCTGGTTTTCTTTTTATATCCATTAAAAAATCTGCACATTATCCTATGGTTCAGAAAATACTTATTAATATCCAATACTGGACTGTAATGATCATGCGTAGTAAATGCTACGGGATGTGTGTTCTACATCTGCACATCATGGAACAAAAAAGTTTACAGGCTAACATATCATATTTTATCACTGAATATTTCTGTCTGAACATGCCAAAGTTTGTCATTGAAGACTATCTAAAATATAAATGTCTTTACTGCCTAACTAAAACTAACAACAAATAAGATGGCTTCACAAGGTTTGTGACAGCAGTTGTATTGCTCAGGACTCAGCTCTTCAGCCACAAAGGATGGAGAGAACAAGGGGTGGAAAGGCCAGCTTGAGGGGATGAGCAGCTTTCTCGTACCCCTTAACAACAGTGGAGTGAGTTGGTTTAATGGTAACTTTGCTTGGATTCCTCACTGAGCCGTAAGGTGAGTCCCTAACACTATGCAGACTTATACTGTTGTTTACTTCCTAAAACCACCGATGCCCTACGAGTTTGAATTCTGCAGCATCGCATGACAACTAAACCACCTCAAACAAGCAAAGGATTTTAATGTTTTTCCATATTTTGTTTAAAAGAGTTTTTCACACAAAACAGCCCCCCACCACCACCCCCAAAAAACAATCGCGCTTCCTCTGGGGGGCGAGCCTCACACTTTGGGAACCTCTGTCCTATGCGCATGTATCTTACTCTTAGCAGAGTTCTGCTTACCTCTATATAAGCTGGAGTATCATCTGTCAGTCTTGGAGGAGGTAACCAGTCTTTCGGGGTCTTAGCAAGGTGTTCTGTGACAAACCACTGGAGTTTTGGCCATCCTTTAAATGCCACCACTTCTCCTGTAGCTGTTTTAGGCAATCCCTTCAGACATGCTTCGGATGTGAGGGCCACCTGGATACCACAGCTACCTAGCAGGAAACCGATCTGCTGGGAACCGGCATCCTGATAGCGAACATCAAAATATTAATACATTTTCTCTTAGATGATTTTAATTTTTAAGTAAGAAAAGAGTTTTCTTTAAATTAATTTTTCAGTCTCATTTAAGTACACAATTTACTGTCTGTATCAAATTAGGAATGTAGGTGCAAACGGTGTGATCAGTCATTATCCTTACTGCAGGACGAAAGCTGTACAGAGGTATCGTACATGCAAAATTTTTGTAAAACATTGTATTTAATTTTAATTCACAACATTGCAAGTTGTATTTGTATATATGCAAATGACACTAAATGCTACAGAGGCAGTGCCATTGAGCTGAACCAATAAGCATCGGGTGACTAAGGAAAAATTCAGCAGCTTTCAGTGGACAGGTGTGGACAAATAAATTCCTAGCCTAAAGATAAACTGGATTCCCTGTACATCCACATAGAACTGACACTTGTCATTTCACAAATTGTATGTCTTGCAGTAAATGTAAGGAGATGAATGGTAACAATTTCTGAAGAATAATGGCTAACTAATAGAGGAAAATTTAGTAACAAAATACTGGGATGTTACATGAAAAATCACATTATCAAGATTGGAACATTAGCCAATAACAGCCACACCAACATTTCACTATACTGTGAAAATTAATTTTCATCTTCTAATCTGAAAAGGCAGTGTCTATAGCAAAATCCTAAAATCCTGTATCACAGATTAAATGCAAAAACAAATTCCTTTACAAAATAACAAGAAAAAAATAATCCTAATGGTTCAATACTTAAATTCCACAGAGAATTCTGACTACTCTGACTCATGCATTTTTTCCCTCCAAAAAATACTGTTAATGCACTATGTCAAGAGTTTACAACTCCCTTATTTTCTGTTAGGTACAAAAATAAAGGGATGAAAAACATAAAACATACTGTTAAAAAGAAGTATTAGAAAAAATTAGATTTAAACAAATTGATATGATATGCTAAATCTCAACTGAATTAAGTACTCTGAAGTTAAAAACTGAACTGATTCAGACTGTGCATCTTCACTGATAAATTAACTGAACAAATTAATCAGTGATCGAAGAATTATAGATATCAAGCAAGTAAGCGAATGATACATACCCTTCGTGTGAGTGGCACTTCAATGGGAACAGGCACAATACCTGCTTGAAGGCAACCATAGAATGCACATATGAAGTTGATAGGGTCATTATTGGGGTAGACGAGAGCTATACGGTCACCGGACTTGAGACATGTCTCTCCTCCTTTGCTGAATGCTTTATTTAAGAGTGTGTATGCTATTTTTTGTGACCGACTGAGAAGCTTGCCTGTAAAAAGTATGATGAAGTAAATTAGCAATATCCCCCAGTTATCTGAAATGTCTATTAAATGTGTGCATAAACTTTTAATTTTGACACTATTACATTTATTGCACTTATATCATTGGTTAGTGACGATTTAAGGAATATACCTCCTTCTTGAAACACTTACTTTGAAAATGAGGCAGCATGTCATTGGTTAGTGACGATTTAAGGAATATACCTCCTTCTTGAAACACTTACTTTGAAAATGAGGCAGCACGTTGAATTTATTGTATGTTGCCAGAAAATATGGAGAAAAACAGAAACAAATTCAGTACAAGGTTTGTCACTTATCTGTCCCACTGCCAACAATACTCTACATCATACTCGTTATTCTCTATCGGAAGCCATCTGTCAAACGCAGAAATTATATTCATATGTGTAATATATTCCATAATAAATTTACTCACTATGTCAAGGTAAGGTAAAGTTGTCCCTGTGCTTAAATAACTAAGCACTATGCCATGTAGGCATATGGGGAAGTGGATGTATAGATCCACATTTTCTTGATGTCAGCACAAGCTGGAGGTCAGTAGTCAGCCTCAAGCCCCCGGCCGCTTTACCCCCAGGGAAGGAATCCCCAGTACCCATTGGATAGGAGGTTGGGTGGACCTCAGAGCTGGTTTGGACAACGTAGAGAAGAGAAAATTCTTGACCCGACTGGGACTCCAACCCCTTGGCTGTCCAGACCATAGCCAGTCACTATACCGACTACGCTATCCTGTCTCCTCACTATGCCAAGACCCTTATCCTATCCCCCCCCCACACACATACACACATTTATTATACACAATCTGCAATACAGGTATATGTTCAATAAGTACTGGCTCGTGAACGAGTTATGCTCAGTGGCATAACTCATATACTTTTTTTTTGTTCAATTAGGTATCACCCTTACCATATGTGAGTGTTATGGTAAGTTTTCCATTTGGATCCAGAACAGTTGCAACAGGTGCCTTGTAAGTAGCTGAGCCATACCGCTGGATTGCTGCCTCCAGATTTCTGGGAAGACCAGATGGTACCTATAGCAAACACAGTTGTTCAGTGAGATACATTCCAGATAATACAAAATTATATATTCCTCCAAATTTTATATTCTAATGTCTGTTTCCTTCTTATATATTCGTATTACTTCTATATTGTATTTTCTATTTCCTTTCTATCTATAAATATTTATATTGTACTGTATATTTCCTTAACTTTATTTTTTATCAGGGTTTCAAATACTTTTAAGAATCCTGCCAAGCACTGTTACATGATTCAATAATGATCTCACAGTATAAGTATGTGTTTATAAAACAACATGACAGTGAGACCTCTCGGTTCCGTAACCATTTCCTCTAAAGGCAGTTTGAACAGGTACAACACAAATGGTACCAGCTGGAGGTCAAAGACTTCTGCTGGCCCTGTGGGTAGAGATAAATTTCTCACAGTTCTTAGATACAAGGCATAGAAACTGAAATCTTTAGCTCAGAAATCAAGCTAAAGCATTATGAACTACAATGCTGAGGAGAGAGTGTCACTAATATATCTAACGTGAAACTATTACATCAAGCCGAGAAACGGCCATGGCAAAGCTGATGGCTGTCATGCTGTACACCATGATTTATGGATTCTTTAAGAGCATGCTTTTGTATGTATGATATTTCATTTGACAGGAACAGACACTATTTATACATCAAATTCTAGCATATATCCAATTTGTTTTGTATTTTATCTCACTGACTCACTTCACAGGAAGTACCTGTTGATAAGCTACTCCCTCCACATTCTCCAATTAACTACCATGAACCTCAAAAATTCTTCACTTAAGCCAATTAAGAGATTCTCACAAGAACTTTTCACGATAACCAATATTATAATAAATAAAAAACATTTTTAAATGTAAACTCATCATGTAGTGACATGTGCATGTTTCAGTGTTCATGCGTGTACACACACACACATGAGCAAGCATGTAACAAATTACTTCTCTGTGTTATTATTGTGTCGTTTTCACTTCTGAAAAACAGACAAAAATTCAAAGTAACTGAATTTATCACTGACTAATATTTGCTTAATGACGGGATCTCCACATTTCAACATTGAGTCTATAAGAAAAACGGAATCTTTGGTTTAGGTATTTGCACATTCTCCAAGAAGACAACTACTACATAATTTGGATACTCATGCAGTCCTAATTCCATGCCTGAAAATAAGAACATCAGATTTCATGGCTAATTTCTTTACTTCCACGTAAGACTCAAACATGCTGTTCTTACCACAAGTTGTTCACCAACAGCAGATGTCATGGAACTGCCCTCTGGTTTTGGAGCATTAGGGTCTTTTGGGTTAGCAGCGATCTCCAGCTCAATATCATCATCTTCATAAAATTCTGGCAGTGGTCTCCGTTTCGGTCGCTTTAGTGTGTTTAGTAGCTGCTGAATTTTGGCAGAAACCTTCCACCTACCAGTGCCTGTGACTGTGCCTGCAATTAACCAGTCAATGTCAGTAAACATGCTGCTCATCTTTCAGTAATAAGTGCACAATATCACTATTTCTGGTTATAACATTATCAGGAACCACATTTTAGCTGTGAGAGTGAATGAAAATGAGAAAGATGAAGGACATCCACATCCAAGTTGGTCTCTCGCCATTACATTCTAACTGGTTTTAAGCATCCAAACAGTACCAGCTGAAAAGCACATTTATGAAGCTTACTGTTATGCAATGTCCACCTTTTACTTAAATACAAATATTCTCATGCACTCTCAGTCAGTCCTCCTTCATATACTCACTGAAACAACTAATAATTTTTCATTATTCCAGCACCAAGCAAGACAAAATAATCAAACATAATTAAACAGAAATGCCAACAAATTTCATCTCCACCCTTCTTTCATCCACCAGAAAGAATTAACAACTTATTACTATCAATTAGTAATTTTACAGGGTTTTTACATTTTAATTTTCAGTATTATTTTCAAATATAAAAAGAAAAAAAAATATATTCTGATGGAGGAACATAGATTGAGAGTTTCTAAGTAACAGGAGGCTGAGAAAACTGCTTAATGAGGCTTTCATAATCTGTACTTTTTTACCAAATATTACAGATGTCCTGAAAGTCACTGAAGTTGTTTTCTCTTAACCATTACACATATTAAAGAAACAACTCAATGAAATATAGATCAACTATAAAAATTTATGTCACTAAATTTCCATGTGCATTCCTTCAACGCACCATAGATGTTTAATCAATATCCGATTTTAGCCCACTTCTGTAGTTACTGCTATCAACCCCTTCATTTCAGTTAATTGCTCCTTCAATACATATAAAATGATTAAGAAAGTAATATAGCCTCCTAAAACCTTAGAGGAGTTTTCTGGACACTCTGTATTACAGCAATCAAATCAAGAACAGCATAAATTCTTGAAGAACATATTTAGAGAATGTGTTATCCAAATTACAGTACAACCTTCCACTCTTGTTAATTTTAGGGCCAGAAGAATCTTTGGAAAGGACTGGCACTTCTTTGCCAGTAATAGCTTAATATACTGATATTTGTAAGCATTAACAACCATGACTTTTTTCTGGAAATTTTACAGTGAGCTATATGGGAGGTCCAACAGAGCACATAGAGACTTCAAGATACATTCTACTGTTGCAGATAGTGTATATTACAAATTATAACCTACCCATATTGTCATCAGAGGCAGAAGATTGGCGAGACTGGTTATATCTGTTAACTCTGTCAGCAGCTGTCATGCGTCGTGACTGAGCCGTGTTGTGCGTTACATCTGGGGGCTGTGTGTCTGCAATAGATTGAGTAGATTTTAGATTTTAGAGATGATGTGAACTATGTCTAGAGATCTACTGCATCTGCCCATCATTTTAAAACAATTTTGTTTCATAGCAGTAAGACATGAGACATTCTATATGCTCAGAAATGATTCTAACAAATCTAGAATTTTGTTTTAAAGATATGCTTTGAGTAATCTGTGCTATTTAGACCCCTCTACAGAGACTTGTGTCACAACTGAAATGTATGAACTTTTATAGTATTGTGTAAAATACTACTTCACAAAACCAAATAAGAATTAAAAACTAATAATTCACAACACTGCACATGAATACTAGAATAAGTAAAAAGTAAAGTAAAGGTATCCCTGTAACAGGCCTTGGAGGCCCATAGGGTTGTGAGATGTTGAAGTTCCCACATTTTCTAGACAATCGGCTTATAGATGGCGGCAAGGCTGTCAGCCCTACGTGCCGGCCACCCTTTACCCCTGAAAATATTCCAAGAACATTCCTGGTACTCATTTCTGTTAGAAGCTGAGTCAACCCTAGGGCCATAGTGTGGCTGGAAGGATTAGGTAAATTGAAAAAATTCAATGACCTCATCAGGATTCAATCCCGTGAGCTTCCAGCTTGTAGCATAGTGCTTCAACCAACTACACTACTGCGTGCCCCCAAATAAACTCCCTCAAAAGCAGTTCCCTTGATATTCGAGAATATTCTGACAGGATCAATACTTACATGGCCTGAGATTTTGCATGACATCAGCCAGATCAGTTATTTCTGGCTTCATCATTCTCTTACGATCATCCCCTCTGGGTGCACCTACAGAGATAGGATCACGCTCTTCCCAGACAGTGGTATGGCCTGGTCCTGGGCCACCATTGGGAAGCCGTGTCTGTTGACGATGAATCTGTTGCTGCCGTTGTTGTGGTGGTGTCTCACGAGCTGATCCTGTACTAGAGGTGTCGGACTGAGCTGCCTGTTGCTGCTGCTGCTGTGGCGTGGTTCGTGCTCGTTCCCGCTCTGGTGTGCTCTGCACATCACCCTCATTCACCAGACTATCCTCATCAGAACTTGATGCTGTGGCACAGATATAAAATTATTTAAATAGCATTATGGTGTAATGCTGTTTGCTATCCATAATTTTGATGATTCTCATATATGAAGAGAAGTGGTTATTTCACTTATAGAAGAAATTTAAAAAAAAAAAAAAGAGACATCTTCTCCCAGATTACATTCCTGTAGCCCCTTACGCCACTGTTCTTACATCCCACAATATGGAAATTAAATGACAAAGCATTAACACTTAGCAAAGGCAGAAGTACTTCTCTGTAAAACAATTAATCAAGGAACAATTTCAGGCAGTCACTGTTCAATATCAGCACCATCTAACAATGATTAATTAGGATACTTTTTGTTGACTTCTTGTGATATAAAGATAATACGACATGTACAACCTCTGCCAAGTAACAGCTGTGTAAACATGCGACAGTACAACAGCCATTGCTAGGGAAGAGCTCTGCAGACACGTTCTATCCTCGCAAGAGAACACGCAATAATGCAAGAGATGTTTTCTGTGAGGTCCATGCTGGGGCTATATAACAAGGACTAGCATTTCAGTTGGTGGGTTGAGTCATTTAAGAGTTGCAGTTGTGATAAGTGATAAGCTGGCAGCTGAGGCTGGGGACAGTTCAGGGACTCAAGAGAAAGGGGAATGCCTGCCACCGGAAGCTGCTACAAAGCAACAGCTAGTGAAGATTGAGAAGACTTTATGTGTGCTGTAGTTTCACTGATCTTTGTACTGTGTAACTCAGTGAGACTGTTGTAGTCATTAGTAGTTAAAAGTTGTTTATAAGAGTTCAAGAAATCTGATTACCAATCCAAACCTCATCTCTAGTCACAGTTACAAAGTGACAATATAAAGGTACTGTTGTGCTTACACATCATCAGGCATGGAGGTACGTTCTCACTTTGGTATTCAAGAGGAGTGCTTAACATGACAACTATACATACTTTCTCCTTAGGGAGGGTAGCTCAGGTATCCATCAAATAGAGCCCACTACAAATATGGTGTGACTCCAACCAGATACCAAACCCTGGACACTCGGTTTTAAACCAGTCACTATAGCGAATGAGATTCCACAGTTCTCACAAGAATACAAAACACCTCTTAAATCTGATCCTGCTTATAGTAAAAAGTGTGACAAATAGCAGACATTGAAGACCATACTCTGTGACAAATAAGAGACATCAAAGGCCATGGAAGTGTAACAAGAAAATATAATTACCATATGTACTACAAATCTTTTCTCTTTTACAGATGCAATTATTAAAACTACATGGAGCCAATCTGCTTAACTGTACATGCAGCATTCTGTTCCAGACTGACCTCATACTTCACGATTCTCAAGGCTCACATACAGACATGTAGAGGAACAGCTTACTCCAGTCAGCATTCATATTAAGCCTAGAAATTGCAGGAGCAACAACAGAACTCATGCAGTGGGCTTAGCTGTGTACAGATTCTATGGAGGCACTCTTCTTATTACCCAGTTAAACTAGAGGTACTTCCATGTTTAATTAAAAGCAATACTTTAAACAAAAACATACAGGTGATAAACAGTAACTTGTCTTGTGCTGCAGACCTGAAAAGTGTAAATAACACTAAGAGTTTTTGTGCACTGTTCTGCACTGACAGTCACAGTACAACGCATCAAGCCACCTGTTTTTGAAGACAAGCTTTGTAATTTGATGCTTGTGGTGTGCATAAGAAAGTTTTGTAATCAAAATGTATTTACAAATTACTCATTAGGAAGACAATATATTATATATTAATATTAAAATATACTTTAGAGATATAGGATGGGGTGGTATGGACACAACTAATCTGGCTCAGAATATGGGCCAGTGGAGGGCTCTTTTGTGAACATGGTAATTAACCTTCGGGTTCCGTAAAATGTAGGGAAATTCTTGAGTAGATGAGGAACTGATGGCTTTTTAAGAAAGGATTAGCCCCATGGAGTTAGTTTATTATTACTCACAAGATATGAAACTGAATGACTAAATATTAATTTAATTCAGTACATTCATAGTTTTATTGCATATTCACATTTGGTCACTACTTGATAGGGCTTTAAATGAAAAGTTTTTCACTGAAAGCCAAACCTCTACTTAAAACTGTAATAAATGAAACAAGAAAGCTCTTCATTCATAAGTGTAAACAGAGATAAATATTTTGGTAATACCAAGGTTCAAGATAGAGAAACAGCGTTATTTTAATACAGGACTATTTTACATAAAACAAACTGAAGCTAACCTTCTATGGGTGGGCAATTAGTTCTTTAACTACAGAGTACAGGGTATAATCATGGAACTTGATGAGTATATATAACAAATGGTCATGCAGAACAATGCATTAGAGAAATTAAAACCAACTAACTTGATCACATGTTCCTTACTGTTACTACGAATATGATCTTACTTATTTGGACCATTCAGGACTAAGAGTGAACATGCAATAAATGTGTAAAATAATTTTTATTGCTCTCATATTTAATAATTAATTTACAAATACATTTATTTTAACAGATGGATGTATCATTCCATTATTATAAATCGATTTTATGTAGATTTACTTAAATTAATTTGAAAGTGAGAGGTGTTAAATGACCCTTGCACTGTGACTGATATTTGGTCTATTGTGTATCCCCTTTTCTTACAAACGTAAGCCTTTCCCATAGTCATGCATCAGTATGAAGCGCAGCAGCTTGATTAGTGTGGTTTTATGAAGTGTGTTTAATTTCATTACAGAAAAATAGTCAATATGGGTGTAAGATTCATGTCCAAGTGCACAAAACTTCTGCTGGGAATAAACAAAACCATTATGATTGATGCAGAGAGAAGCTGATGAGAGTTCTGCAGTCCATGTGACATCATCATACACAGAAGATACCCACCAGAGTCGTGGCGCTCTCGGTCTGGGCTCTTGGCCATGACAGAGGTTCTCTTGGAGGGCATGGGCAGCGAGGGCTTGGGCCGGTTCTGCATTGCTGCCAGTGCCTGCTGCACTGCCTCCTGGCGCACCTCTGCTCATGCGCACACCCACATCAGACCAGCCATCACCAAAATCAAACAAAGAGAAAAGACAAGCCAGCCAATTAGAACAAACTCAGCACTCATCAAGCAAAAACATAAAAACCATAAGCAAAAACTGATCATCCCATTCATGTATTGCCTGAAGTCAGAGAATCTGTATTATGCCATGTCACTTCCTAATAGATGGAATACTATATCCCACGTGTCATATTTCATCAACATGGAAACTATAACTCACTCCTCTTTCATAAATTTTGAGAAACTTCAAACATTAGTCAAAAATAGCTACTTCTACCATATTCACATTAACTGAAGCAACTAACAGCAACTGTCGGGTTCACCAACATAATAATAAATACATGACAAAACCTTCCTATTCACCTCATTTATGTCTCCACAAGTTTATGCTCCAGTAAGCAAGAATTCTTTTAATTCTGAACAAATTCACTGATGGGCATAGGGACAACACTGTTAGGGAAGCAGACCCATTGGAAGATGCTATCTTGGTGATCACTTGTATCATATTTCATGTGTCATATTTAGTTATAATTAACTAACTGACTGACTCACAGACTGATTGACTGACTGACTACTCAAAAAACTAATTTCATGGAGCTGAGCCCTTCTTAAGAAGCAGCCAAACTGTGCAGCTACTCAAGAATTTCCCAGCATTTAATGGAACCCGGGGGGGGGGGTCATTACCGTGTTCACAAGAGCCCTCCACTGGTCCCTATCCTGAGCCAAATAGATCCAGTCAATACCACATCATCCTATCTCTCTAATATCCATTTTAATATTATCTACCCATCTATATCTTAGTCTAGCTAGTGGTTTCTTTCTTTCTGGTTTTCCCAACAATATCCTATATGCATTCCTCTTCGTCCTCATTCATGCTACATGCCATGCCCATCCATCCTCCTTGACTTGATAATTTGGCAAAATGTACAAGTTATGAAGCTCATCATTATGCAGATTTCCCCAATCTCCTGTCACTTCATCTCTCTTTGGTCAAAATATTCTCCTCAGAACCATGTTCTCAAACACCCTCAGTCTATGTTCCTCCCTTAATGTCAGAGACCAAGGTTCACTCCCATTTATTTATTTTGTCTCTATAGATCATTGTTACATGATATAGGACAAGTCAGAACCACAGGCAAAATTATAGTTTTGTATATTCTAATCTTTATGTTTTTAGATATCAGGCAAGAAGACAAAAGGTTCTGGACTGAATTGTAGTGAACAATACCCGAATTCAATCTCCTCCTAATTTTTTCCTTAATCAAGTTTTGATTTGTTACTGTCATTCCCAAATATCTGAACTGTGCCACATTTTCGAAACATATGTTACATATTTAGGCATAAAGCATTAAAATTACTATTTCAAAATTAAAATAAATATAACTTGAAGTGTTTAATTTCCACAGTACACTGGAGACGAATATCACTATGACAGTCTTGGTGTATCATTAGGAAATATGTAATGAAAAACAGGTCTCAAACAGAATGGCATTTAATTTGTATATTCTTTTTTAACACATGACAGATAACCCTTATATGGAAGGGAGATAATCCTTCATTCCCTGAACATGTGCTGATCATACTGCAAACATTACAAAAAATCCATAATGAGAGACCAGAACAATCTGAACTCTGATTCCAGCCAAATGTATGAACAAAGACCAAATAAAAAAGAACAAGTCACATACACAGTTAATGGTCATTGTTATCATCATCATCATCATCATCATCATCATCATCATCATCATCATCATCATCATCATCTTCACTGAAGTTTACTATTTTTGGAGGAACATGCTACCTAGATATTTAGGCAGAACTCTTTTCCAACGTACATGGTGTCACATTCCAAACAGTATCTCAAGGTCTCCACCATAACAACTTCAGATACCACATTATTCTTTCCTCCTTTCTACAGATAAGGATGACATGGCATAATTTAGTTTTATTACACCACATTCTGTGACTTCACTATCATTCATTAGCTCTAAGCAGGAATAAAAGGATTCTGTTGCTGTATATCTGACTTGAGAGATATGATCCATGTTATGTCTCAGTACAAGTAGTTCTGTGCTAAGAAACATCTCTTTGTATATGCAGTATACATGAGAAAGTACTGTGCTCCTGATTCTGATAGATTTATATGCTCTGAGCCTCCATGAATACGAAAACATGCTTTCTGGAATGCCACCTGTCTGAGTGTCTGTTTATATATGCATGGATATATGCTTCGGTAGATCATGAATGGTTGGATGATTCTGATCACATTCAGTATTTAAAGAGTTTATCCATCATAAGTTGGTGACTGATGAACAGGTATAGTCTAGATAAAAAAACAGGGTCCCTTGAGATGGGACCCTACAAACAAAATGGCGATTTGTTCAAAAAGGGCTCTGATGATTTTGATTACAATTGAATAGTTTGTGGAGATCATCTCCCTCAACAAAACTGCACAGGTGGTATCTTCAGGTAAATTAGGGTAGGTGCAGCAGGGGACAAAATGCAAACTGTCAAGTTTGTTGAAACTGCCTCAAGGGTCAGACTTCATTGTTGTTTTGTATACAGTAACCAACAATGAACTACCAAGTTATCAATTTCATTCCTAAGGCAATGAATTTAAGGTTACTTATATACAGGAAAGTACATGCAATGTTTTCTACCGATCTTTTCCCTGTTAAAATAAATCTTGTACTGAATATTTTAGATTTTTTCTTGCTTCCCCAACAGTTCTCCTCTTCACTTCTACCACCATGCATGGTGCCAGCGTTGGGGGTGGGGGGACTAGGCATCTACCCAAATATTAAAGTTGGGATAATGAGATAAATATACCAAATATTGATAATAAAAACTGCAAGTACTTAAAAATTATTCTTCTATCATGAATATTCTAAGGTCATCAGTAAAAACTGTATTAAACGGTTTAAACGTACGTTTTCAAGAAAATCCCCCCCCCCCAGAAAAATACCCTACTGGCATCAATGTTACTTTCTCTTATATATGCTACGTATGCAGGCCACTGAATTAACATAACAGCATAAGATGCTCTGTATAAATCATGTAACTCCTCGATAAGAACAGCTCTCTATTTCCCAGTTCCTGCGTCAAAACATGTTTCTAAGTAGACTGGTCTCAGATGCTTATAACTGTTCTTCTATCAAATGATTGCAAAACGCTGTCTGTTACACTAACAGAAGAATATAAACTACCTGTCTGTGAAGAAACTGCTCTGGAAAATATTTAGACAACAGTGATATAAAATGAAATATTTACACATTTTCATACTACAACAGAAATGTAAAGAAGCTGTATGTACGTAACCAACAAGCTAGGAAACATTTATGATTACTTCACAGCTCCCTGCCTCTAGCATGTTGCATCTGTGTACCTGGGGGCAGAGGTGCATATAGTCTACACCACGCATTTGCAGCTATGGACAACATGAATCATAAGTCTCTCAGTTCAAAATTAATAATGCAAGCAGCATAATACATTATTGAAGCAACTTAACAAAATGAACAGTCATAAGTTCTAAGGGTCCTTTATCGATATAAATTACAATGCTTATGTAAATAAGACCTAAAAGTTTGTGATGATGGTATATTAATACAGTTACTGTGTTTATGGACATTGTTCATCATCCTGTTTTTATTTAAAACACACAACACTTTTGGAAACTGGATTCTGTCTCCGTCTTCAGGTTGGACCTACTCAGATGGGCCAAATTGACAGAGCTAGTTCCTATCTCTGGACACCAGCACCAAGACAATATAGGATACATAAACCACCTGTGAGAGTAGAGACAAAATAAACTGTACACACATCAGGCCTCTATCGGTGAAACAAGCTGACCTTTAGAAGTACGCATTAAGAAGCACAAATATAACCTGACACAATGTCTGCTTGAAAAATCAACAATAACCCATCATGCATATGAAGAAGGCTACAAAATATGTTGGAAAGGAGCGAAGGTTTTGCAAATTGACCCAAACACTACACAAGGGAAATACAAGGAACCCGACCACGTGTCTCTGGTAGATCATCCGATCAGTCAACCCAGCTTGGACATCTCTCCCATCTGGACTCCCAATATAGCAACAGAAGTCAGAAAACTACAACTCTATCCAATGTAAATTATGTGTGAAAACTGTGTTTTCATATTGGTACCATACAGATAATTTGTCTCTTCAGTGATGACTTCTATTCTCACAGTACTCTGATTTTAACAACAGCAGCCATGAACTAGTGCATGGACATAGATGACAGGCCTCATGTATGTGCAGGAATGTTTTTAATGTTTGTCTTAACTCTCACAGGTGGTTTACGCTGTGCTTGGTTTATAGTATATCCTATCTTGTTTTGGTGCTGGAGTCTGGAGATAGGAACTGGCACTATCATTTGGGCCCAACTGAGTAGGTTCCACCTGAAGACAGAGACTGAATTCAGTCTCCAAAATGATGTGTTTTAAATAAAAACAAGATGCTGGATAATGTCCAGAAACACAATAACTGTAACAATGCTTATGCATTACTCACCAATACCAAATCAGTTGGCATGTTGTTATAATTCTGAATACAAGCTTGTTAAAGTAACCAGTTTCATTACAACTGAACTTAACGTAAAACAAAACACTGGACACAAGCAAGCAGTACATAGAATGGTATGAAGCAGAAGCAGCGCAATGATCTAAGACCTTAAAGATCTAAGCAGCTTTATCATTCAGGGAGGAATATTTAAAATTCAAATTATATCGCATCAGCATCAATTCCATTAAGGCCAATTATTTAATTAATTCCAGTGGCTGTTAATACTTTCTGCTGGGAATCTCACCTGATTGATTTCAATGCCCAGAAGAATTTAGTATGTTATCCACATCACAATCACAAATATATAACTGCCACACCACACTACTATACACACAACACATTACACAAATTGAATGTTTCCATTGTCATTTCCACGTGCAACTCACCTC